GCTGAGGAACGGCACTTGTCACTGCTCTCCACTTGGATAACGAATTGCTGACCATAACTCTTTGAGTGCAACCATCCAGCCAATTCCTTATCCACCAAGTGTCCATCCGTCAGATCCATGTCTCTCCAATTTAGAGACAAGGATGTTGTGTGGGATGGTGTCAAATGCTTTGCACAAGTCCAGGTAGATGACGACAGTTGCTTTCCCCTTGTCCACCAACGCTGTAACCCCACTGTAGAAGGCCACCACATTTGTCAGACATGATTTGCCCTTAGTGAAGCCATGTTGGCTGTCACCAATCAACTCCTTATTTTCCATGTGCTCTAGCATTGTTTCCAGGAGGATCTGCTCACGATCTTGCCAGGCAGTGGTAAACAATAAAAATAAAATGTTTTCTCTGCAGCGCTGCCCAGTGGTGGGGTGGCAGTGAGCACACATAGCTGCCAGACTCTTCTCCATACAGTCTCAACCAGGCTCCCGGATATCCCATCACTGTCAGAAACACACCAGTGCAGGGCCGTCTTTAGCTGCTTGTTTCACCAGTCATAGAGAAGAAGAATTACTGGCCTGAACTGGTATCTCATTCTCAAAATCTTGTTGCATATTTTCATCTTTAGGAGTGACCACTCTAAGGAGATGCTGCAAAAGTACTGACTGCAATAACTCTGTTCACCCTATCTAGAGAAGCAGACGCTTCTCGGGTGTCAGCCATCCTTCCCAGGGCAGTGTCTCTGAGAGGTGCACCCCTCTCCACTGCCTGTAAGAGGAGTATAACTAGCTCAGGGGAAAACACCTATGCTGTAGGCACCAAATACCATGTCAGGCACATGTAATTCCATCTGTGCTTGCTTCCTCTTTTGAAATTCAAGCTTGTTTCAATACTTACAAATGCAGCCGTGATCATCACACACCACCCAGGAGCTGCTGCATGGTACTGCCTAGGCAGACGGGGCTTCCTGCTTCTCAGGGGGAACTAGAGCCAAGAAATATGGCAAAGCCACAGTTGAAATGCTCTGTTTTGGCAGCGAGATCTCAGAATACAGGGTAACAGTGTGGTTCAGGTTAGTGGACAACTGGCTCACATGGGAAGGCTTAAGATAATTGGTTCTGCATGGGCCTTAAATGGTGATCATTATTAATGAGTGCAGAAATAGAGGCTACAAAGGTATGGCCACAGAGAAAAAGCAGAACACTCCCATCACCACCAGCACCGTGGAGACAACCCTTTGAAATGGCAGGGAGAACATCATGAGATACACATAAAGTAGTGACCTTATGGACAACACCACCTCACATCAATCCCTCCAACACATCTGCCAAGGAATCTGTTTGTAGGACACCCTGTCTCACACCACACTGAGTTGACTTCACTGTCCATGCACCAAGGGAGTGCACACATCATCAATGTGTGACATTTTGCACTAACGTGGCAAATAAATTTCCATTACCTGCTTAAAAATGTTTGTGTACATTTCTGTCCTTCATCTGATAATTCTTCTATATAGTCTTTGGGTGGATTTATGAGGGCCCACAGGAGCAGGTTCAACAGGCCTCCTTTTGCTTGTAAATCAGGGCTTGCATCTTGCAGATATTATAATTCACACAAATCAACTTTTCTGTGAATTTTTAAGGCAATTAAAGCAAAAAAATGCAAAAGTAATGATGAACAAAGTGAACTTGTTAAGAAAAGCCCTCATGTGGAAAAAAAAAAAGTTTAATGTACTTTTCAGAGAAAACACAAATCCCAATACCTATAACCAGGATTTTAATACAATATAATAAACAATATATTAATCTATAAATATAATATTATACAAGAATTATTATTCTCATCATCATTAATATTATATATATATATAATAAGCATTTCCCTGCATTAATAGGCACCTAAACAATAAGGAAGTTCAAGTGAGTATTTGAGGATTCCAGTACATTCTTTCCTTGCATAATCCCAGTAACACATTAGCATTACCAGAACTATGCCAGTCCTCTGGGCAATACTTTCCAGCTAATTTGTTCCACTGTGAATCAAATCCTGTTAAATAAACAGAGTGGATCCATTTAATCTCATTTCACATTTCTGAAAGGAAAATATTTACAATCTGTATTTTCCTGAAAGCTGAGAACAAGGCATTGTAAGGGCCAAACTTACTAAGGGCAAAACTAAGGGTGAAACAACACCACTACTCTTCCCTCACCTCTCCTCCAAAAAGTCGTCGTAATTTTGCATAACTTGAGATTGTGATTTGACTTTTCTGGGTCACTGTTATTCCACACCATTTAATGCTCACAACAGCTCCCACTGAGTGTAGTTATCTCTTAAGCACCACTGGGTATCTGACCCCTGAGGCCTTAATTAGGCACTGAGGGAATGATTTCTGTGTCTAAAAGGAGATGCTCACATTTAGGTTACATATACCTCTGAAAGTAAGGACTTGCCTTCAGTTACAAAGCAGTTACCTCAAGCAGATGTCTTATGAGCCATTCATGGAATGGGAAAAGCTGGGATATCTAGACCGGGCCCTGGCACAGCTCAAGCTCCCTGTGCCTTACTGGGATGTGCCACCAGATGCTCCCAGACAGTGCACACAGACGGTGTACAGACACCCTCCCACACACCTCCCCTCTGCATTTGGGTACCCTCACTGTCACCCCTTCGTCAGACCCATCAGCACTCCGTCCTTAAAAAAGGTGTTGGAAACTGATGGTCTTCTCTCTTAAGAACTAACTGCATAACAGAAAAAAGCAAGAGGAGCCATTCATGGAGAAACAAAACAGCACTGCCAGGAAATTCTGAAAGCAAGTGCTTTCTTAAAGAAAGCACCAGAGAGTGTGACCTACTCCCGTGCATGGTCACTGCACACCAGCAGCCAGGGGAAACCTCCAGCCTCCAGGGAAAGGAAGAGGCAGCTTTGCCCATAGAGCTGAGCAACCCACAGGAGAATATCTCCATGGAGAAATACGCTGGCAGGCCAGGTGAGCGCTGGAAGAGAAGACCAACAATGACAGAATCCACCAACACACAGATTTGCACAGCACAGACAACAGACACGTAACTGCCAGCGACAAGAGCTTGGAACAGCATCCCCCCCCCCCCCCCCCAAGCCCCCCAATTCCCAGCACAGCCCCCTGGGGACATGGCACTGTGTGCCAACCCACCTGACAGGCTGTTGGGGCTGCTCTGTGCTCACCACAAACACCGGATGACCTAGAAGAGAATCGTAGAATCGTTTAGGTTGGAAAAGACCCTTAAGGTCATCAAGTCCAACCTCAACCTGGGCTCGCCTTGGTCCCCAGGCAGGACAATGTACGCTTGTGAAATGAGTGCATGCCTCACCCACACCAAATACTGCAGCTGCTCCCATCACAGCAGAGAGGGTGCTCACACTCCCCGCGCTGGACAAGAACCCCCTGGGCAAAAATCTCAACTGGAGGGGCGAGGTCTGGGGATCCCACAGCCCCCAGGGATACTCATGCTATAACCTTCCCCAGGCAGGGAACACCTGGTGTGTAATTAGGCATTGTGATTTGGGGGAAGAAGTAACTTGGGCACATTAGCTGCAATCACCTCTAACTCATCCACTGTGAATACACACGTCGTTTCTCCAATGCGCACAGTACCCACCAAAATGTCAATAAGCTTTTCAGAGGCAAAACCCTCCATGTTTTTGGGTCAGGAAGTGGTATTTTTAATTTCTTAAAACATTGGAATATGTCCTTTGTATAGTCAGACAACTCCTCTTGCTGCAAATGTCACCTCACCTGTATAGACAGGATAATACTTTTCAAAAAACATTAAAGAGCACAAATCGTGACAGAACAGCCAGAAAGGCTGCAGCAGTGAGGAAGAGAACAGAGTCCCCAAAATGAGAAGTGAAACTTTTCAAACTACTGGGACCTAACTGCAAGAAAGATGCATGACAGAGAAAGGAAAGTAGGAGAAAACAGGAGATAAACAGCTTGAGGCAGCATTAAGTAATATCACAAAACGAAGACATTGAGTGATTTATTTCTCAAGACTGTACTTCCATGTAAGCAATCACATTTGTCATAGAGAAGCGGGGTGATTAAGGCAGACATAGAACTTATTGCTCCACAGCTAAAAATCTGTGTGAACATTTTGGGTAATTTATGGCCAGCTGAAAGTGAGAAAAGGGAATGAGGAAAACGTGTGTGGCACCTCAAGACCAGTACCCTGACAGTGAAATGGGATGTCTGCCTAACACTGAAGGGAAATCCCTTCCTAGGAGATGCCACCCAGCATGCTGAAGGCAGATCACGGGTCTGCCAAAGATCACGGCAAAACGGCTTCTGGACCTAAACGGGCCAGGGCTCCCCTCGACCTTCCCCTCCATCTGTTTGTGCGTATTCCGGAACCGGCTGCCTGCTCCCACTCACCAGCTGCCTGGAAAAGAGCACAGAAGCGTTTGTAAAGAAATCCTGATGTTTCGAGTTCCTTTCAGTCCTGCTTGCCCAGCACACCGAGGGCGGCTGTCAGCACCCGCTCGGAGGGGAGGCCACATCCCCGCGACGGGACCGAAGCGCCCCGGGCTCCCTCCTGCCCCCGCGAGGTCTCCCAGGCCAGGGCCGGGGTGCGCAGGGCTGCGGGTCACCCCCACGGAGCCGCTCCCCTCGCACCCAGCGGAGCCGGAGCGCCCCCCCGGGGCTCAGGGAGGGGCGGGACGGCAGCGCCCGGCGCCCGGACAGCAGACCGGCCAGCAGCCCCGCCGAGCTGGGGGCCCGCGGGCACCGGGACGGTCCCGGCCGGGGCGGCCACTGCCCGGGGTGGGGAGACAGGGAGGGGCGGGGCGATGGGCGGGGCGATGGGCGGAGCAGTGGGCGGGGCGACGGGCGGGGCGATGGGCGGAGGGGAGCGGTGGGCGAATGAGTGGGCGGGGCTACGGATCGAGAAGTGGGCGGGGCGACGGGCGGCCGTTTCCAAGCGCGCGCGCGGCAGCCTCCCCGCCTCCCCTCCTGTGCTGCGCAGGCGCCGAGGCCGGAGTCGCGCCTGCGCGCCGCCGCGCGCCGGGCCCACGCGCTTCCCTGCCGAGCCGGCTGGCAGCCGCGCGGCGCGTGCTCCGTCACTCACCCCGCCCGCCACGCGCCCTCCGCGCGCCGCCCGGCGGGCACAGGTGAGGGGCGGGGGGGGGGGCGGACGGGACCATGTGGGCAGGCGCGGGCGGGGGCGGGGGGTGTTGGGGCTGATGGCTCAGAGGGTCGCGACTACGGCGGGAATTTCTGAATTTCTGGCGGGGGGGTAGAGGGGGAAAGGGTGAGGGGGGGGGTCCCTCAGTGAGAGGCGGGAATGGCGGGGGCGGCACGGCGGGGAGTGGTGGCGGGCAGGAGTGGTAGGGCCCGGGGCTCCTCCGCGCCGCCGGTGTGTCGCCGCCTGCCCGGGGCAGAGCCCTCGCTGAGGCGGGGCCGCTGTCGGGCAGCGAGGCAGATGAAGTACATCCTGGTCACGGGCGGGGTGATCTCGGGCATCGGCAAGGGGATCATCGCCAGCAGCATCGGCACCATCCTCAAGTCCTGCGGGCTGCATGTCACCTCCATCAAGATCGACCCCTACATCAACATCGATGCCGGCACCTTCTCCCCGTACGAGCACGGTGAGTGAGTGGCCCCGCGGGGACGAGCCCCGAGCCGGGGTGTTCCGGCGGGTCCCGGCGCTGCCGCCGCCTGCACGGAGCCGTCTGCTGCGTGGGGGAAGAGTCTGTGGCCGGCCCTGTGCGTGGGACCTGCTGGCCGGGCCTCTCGGTGGCCCCGGGCTGAGGGGGGGGTGGTTGTGGGGCCAGCAAACAGCGGTGTGCTCTCTGGTCTGTTGTCGCTGCCGCCTGGTTGGGGGATTCAGTCCTCAGTGGAGTACTCCTGTGTGTTGTATAAAGCTTTTACATTTGCTAGCCACTCCTAAACTTGCTGTAGCAATCAAAGAAGGTGTTTCCATACACTGAATTCTTCGCCTATCTCAGGGAAAACCAACAAGTCGCTGATGTGGACCGTTTCCCTTTGACATGTGCTCGTGCCTTTTTCTGCGTGCCGCAGGGGAGGTGTTTGTCCTGGACGATGGAGGGGAAGTGGACCTGGACCTTGGTAACTACGAGCGCTTCCTCGACATCCGACTCACCAAAGACAACAATCTGACTACTGGGAAGATCTACCAGTATGTCATCAACAAGGAGAGGAAGGGAGACTATCTTGGCAAAACTGTCCAAGGTGATGTGAAGCTTCATTTCTGATGCTTAGAAATACATGTCGTATTTCTGTACTGGTGATGCTTTTGCACTTCATCTTAACTTGAGGTCTTTGTTATATGCTGTCCTTGTGATGTTTTTTTTTTTTTTTTTTTTTTTTTTTTTTTTTTTTTTTTTAAAAGGAGAAGTAGAAGATGCACCAGTTTGTGCCATACTGAATCAGGTTACCTCTAAGCACCTCAAAATTTTCAGTGCTCAGCAACATAAGGTCTATTGCTTGGACTGTATACTGGACTTGGATCCAACTGTTGCAATACTAAGCGTGAACAGGCTTCAGACTAATACACTTGTGGATTATTTGTTACCCGGTTAAAATGGTTATTACTTTTGATAACTTTGTCATTAGAAACCCAAAGGATCTTTGAGGATTAGATCAGTCCCCTTTTTAACCATCCTCAACAGCTGGTTTCGATAAGGACTTTAACAGGCAGTTTAAAAGACAGTAACTCTCTGCTTAGAGCAAAGAACTGTTTGTACTTGAATCTTCCAGTTTAAAAGGAATGTTGCTTACATGTGTTTAAATTGAGACAGGATTACATTTCCTGCCAAGGCACTTCTCTTGAAAATCACAGCCAAGAATAATCACTTCAAAAATGCATATTTCTTTAAAGACACAAATCTGTGCTCAAGACATATGGGAATCACTGGCTAGTTACTTTCAGTAGTTTGTTCTGTAATGAGTTAGAGGGAGAAACATGCCTGGGCTGTGGCTTTAACCCTCGACTGGGTTTCTTTTTCAGTTGTTCCCCACATCACCGATGCTATACAAGAATGGGTAATGAGGCAGGCACGAATTCCTGTAGATGAAGATGGCATTGAACCCCAAGTTTGTGTGATTGAGGTTTGTAGCTCTTGCAAGAAGCAGAACTATATATTTTTTTAATGGAGTAAACTGAGCTATATGGATATTTTGCATAGTAAGATTTTTTTATAGTAATGTTCAACTTTGCATGTTGTTGAGTTGGTAAAAAATCCCTCATTAGCTTCACTTACTCAGTCTAATCTTTTTCATGCTCTGTGTCTGAACTAGAAAGACTTAGTTCTTGGACAGTTGTGTGTTTGAGATGCTTTGCTTTCTATTGTAATGTGAATTCTATAGAATTAATTTTAGCTCTTGTAACTTCATATGCCAAATTCTGAGTTAATCATGCTTCTTCCTTGGTGGATAGAGGGAGGATAGGTAAATCACCCTCTGGAAACAGTTGTCTTTCCTCCTCAGCAGTAAAGGGAGCCCTGGGGTGACTAGTTCAAGCACAGACCTAGAAAAGGGAATGGCACAAGTTATCAGTGACAAACCCCATGCAGTTTCCTGTGCATTGTATGGGACGTCCTGCTGCTAGAGGACAGAGAGTAGGGTGAAGGCTCTGAGACTGCTGAGTTGGCTGATAGGGTGTGCTAATACAGGCGGGAAGAAGCTTGTCACAGTGACTTGGGACTCTCTCTGCAGCTTGAGTGCCAATTTCTGGTCCAGGATTCACAAGCCTGGATCCTGAAGTCCCTAGGAGGCACTATTTGACAACGCACAGGAGGCTGTCAGTGCTCCAGAGAATGCCTTGTCTCTGTTCCTGCATGTGTCCAGAACCGCTCTATATAGTTATTAAAACTTAACAGGAATTTTGCTTCTTGGTGCCACCTAATGTTCATAAATTACAATTTTAACATCAGAATCTTTTCCCTGAATAGAGGATGGAGGCAAAGCTGACATCCCTGCAGAGGTGCTGCCAGTTTTAGAAGATGTTTGTTTGATTTGTGGGGAAATCACAAAGTAAAATAATAGTTAGGGTAGATTGGAGGCTGCGGAAGTATCACATACAACTGACAAATCCTGATGCTTTTCATATTGGTGTTGATGCTTAGGGAATTGGAGGGAGACGGTGGGGAGATGTTTTAGTGTCCTTTTATGTATGTTTTAGTATGCTTTATCATACAAATTCAGGAGGTGATGTTTTGGTACTAACTTTAATTCTAAATGTCTTTGTCTTTTTTAGCTCGGTGGGACGGTAGGCGATATTGAAAGCATGCCTTTCATTGAAGCTTTCCGTCAGTTCCAGTTCAAAGCCAAAAGAGAGAATTTTTGTAACATTCACGTCAGTCTAGTTCCCCAGGTAAAGACCCAGAATGTTTTGGTGGTCAGAGGATTCCACAGTCCAAAACTTGCTTTCTGAATATGTGTTTCTGAAATGCTGTATCTATAGGGACACTTACATTTCTATTTCTGTATATAGAAACTTCTGGAAGAAATTCAGAGAATATATGATTATGTATTTAAAAAGATTTGCAAGAAGCAAACAGAAACTTTCCAAAGTGTGTAAATTTGTAATAAATAGTTAAGAGTTGCAGCAAATGCAGTTTTGCGTCTTTAACTGCTGTTTTTTCTCTATGGAATCGTCTCCTAGCTTTGGCAGGTAAACTTGCTTTCTAGAGCTGAATACTTTCTTTCCCTTCATTTGCATAGCCTTTAATTTCTGCAAAGCTAACATAAAATTCAGTGATATAGCCAGATTTCACAGCCATTTGGACTTTAATAAGATCATATTCTAAACTCTTACTGGAGTTCTTTAATATTTCTGTTGTTTGCTACCCCCCTGCCTCCCTCCCCAAGATTTACTTTAGCTGTAGTTCATGAAATAGGTTGGGTTACTTTTGTAATTTCCAAACATAATACTGTGTTTTGAAACATAATCTGTATTTTTTTTTCCCTAGACAATATATTAATGTGTGTTTTGATCTGTATCAGTAATTTCATAGACTCTCACATCTTGACTGCTATGTAAACCATAACATTCTGAGTGGCAGTTGCTGTTGGTTTCAGAGATGCAACTAAGAAAAGATATTATGAAGCAGTGCTGTGATAAGAATCAGTTAATTAGGAATCACAGAGGAAGACAAAACATCCTTATGTGCCATGTAGATGAGGTGAACTTAATATAAAAAGCATATGAAGGTGTTTTATGCCATATAATGCCTGATATAACCTCATCTCTATTATCTGCTCTGTTTTTGGAGACAATTTACAGTCTTAACCAAACAAAAACGTCTCTTCTGCAGGAGTCGCTGCTGAAAAAATTCTTCCTTGGTTGTGTTAACAGTACTGGAGAGCATGAGTATTCCATGTCCTGGAACAGGATTTGACAGAGCAGCTTGATAGTTACTGGAGTGCAGATCAATCTTTGGTCTCTCCTCTCTTTCTTTCCCCTTCTGTCCAGGGCAGATGATTTACAGAATAAATATTAGGAATATAAAATATTACATATTTGGAGGAAATGGTGGATAAAAACCTTAGAATCTGTGCTCTGTCCTTCACTATAAAGCATACCTGCTTACAGTGCAGACTTGAACTCTGGTTTCTGCTGGTTACTTTCAGTCTTAGAGTTTCAAATGATAGTGTACAGGGGTACTTAAAGTTCACACAAATTGTCCAAGAACTGGGTCAAAGCTTTTTCCAGATAAATAAGGTGGGGAGTCCCAACTAGCCTGATATATCATTGTAATTGATATATGAACTTCTGCTCTTTTCTGACCAGCCAAGCTCTACAGGAGAGCAGAAGACTAAACCCACCCAAAACAGTGTTCGTGAACTCAGAGGTCTTGGTCTCTCACCAGATCTGGTAAGGTTTGCTGCATGGCTTTGAATTTTAAAATGCAGTACTGGCATGTTGCAACGTTATCTTAGTCTAAATAATGCTCAGGTGAGAGCTCTTGCATGTTGGCAATAAACAAGCAAAAGTCACTGAGTTGCATTTTTTTCCCCGAGTCGGGGAGACTGCCAGAAGACAGCTTTTCTAGAAGTTTGTTACATGAATGTCTGAGTACTTCTGTTTTGCTTCACAGCCTTGATGTTGCTGTTCTGTTAGATTGTTTGTAGGTGCTCCACTCCACTGGATACCTCAGTAAAAGAAAAGATTTCCATGTTCTGTCATGTTGAACCAGAACAGGTAAAGATTGCTGTCTGCACTTCCTTGCAATAAATATTCTAGCTGTTTGTCAAATGCTGAGTGGAGTTTTTGTGTTCTGGCTGTGTCTTCTGTTAGCTGCATAATTCATTTGCTGCTTTGTCTTACCTACATTCCTTACACATGTAACCATTGCAAAAATAGTCCTTTTTATGCCAGCACTCAGGTTTTCTTATTAAGGTAGTTAGCATAGGCTTAGAGAATTCTATGGAATCCAAGGTATTTTCTCAATAACTGTTCTTGACCTTCGTTGTCCTTCCACATTCCTTTTGTGATACAGAGGAATAAGATTTTTCTGTATTTAGAAGCCAAAGAGTAGTTGCCCAGCATTAGGTTTAAAGGATGCATGAATGTATTTTGTACACTGCTCTTTTCAGGATTCTATTCTTCTGCCCAGGATTTCGTGAGGAGAGATTGCACAGAAAAGTTGAAATGGTATTCGAGAGAAGCATTGCTTCATTTGTATGTTATGTGATATGCAAAAATTCCACGTTGGCATTGTTCTTTTTATACTGAGACTACTCTGCATAGCATAGTCTGAGGTGGACCTTGGAAAATGATCAGTCTGTAGGCTAAATATTACCACTTTCCGCTCCAGCTGGAGCTTGAAAAATGTTGTCTTTTTGTGAAAGACTGAGTATCACTTCACAATTCCAGGCTCTGTCCAGTGATTTTTACTAGTTTCCTATACAGTGAGATCAAACTAAGTTTTGGAGTTTCAAGTATTACATTCAGAATTAGCTGGCAATAATATTGATGTGTCAGTAGTACAATAGCTACGTTTTGCTGGTCAGGAATTGAAAGCGAGTTGGCTCTGGTCAGTTACTTTCCAGGAAGTTTAATGCAATTTTACGTAACTGTTCCTCTGACTTCAGCTGCACTTGAATTGAGAAGTGCTGTTGACTATAAAGGAGGAAAATCTGCAGCTGAGGGGGTTTTACTGGTGCAGTGTTGAATTCTGCTTTCATTTGAGTCAGGAGAAATAAAGATTTAAAAATAGTTGTGCCAGTATATTTATGATCCTTGAAGTACGGTCTCATTCTCGATGGACAGGTGACAGTTGTCCAGAGCTGTCTCCTTTTCTGAGGAAGCCCATTTCAGTGAACTAGAACTGTTGACACAGATATTCCTCATTGACTTAAGAATTATTTGCTCATAGTTGTTTAATCCTAGTTTTGAAGGATGCTCTGTAAAATTTATTGCTATATTGAGACCACAGATTTCCCTGGGCTTTAATCAAACCAGGAGCCCTGTTTAAGAATGACAGTGGTGGGAAATAGGGAAGCTGGGCTTGTGGGCAGTTTAACTGTAGTTTCAGTTAGGGTTACCAAGAAGGCCGCATCACAGGACAAGTCTCTTTGGAGCGTTCTTTGAACTTTGCTATGCGCTCACATAACTTGTGTAGCAGCTGACTTTCTTACTGCAAGGTTATCTTATAGCACTTCCCTAGGAGCTCCAGTGAGCAGTGGTACCTGGAAAGTGTTGAAGGATGACCTTTTCAAGTATGTGCAAAGTGGTATTAAGCTATTCATATGTTGTTATGTTATTACAACAGATGTTATTCCCTGGAAGTTTAGGTGGTCATATGGTTGTCTGCTAGAGACAGAAGCTCGCTGCATATCTGTCTAAAAATAATTGCACAGGCACTTAGGTCTGTTCTAATGATGTTCATATTGTATGAACAGGTCATCTGTGTTCATGATGTCTCTTCTATCTACCGGGTTCCTCTGTTGTTAGAGGAGCAGGGAGTTGTTGACTACTTCAGACACAGGCTTGACCTTCCCATTGAGAGGCAGCCCAGGAGGATGCTCATGAAGTGGAAGGAAATGGCTGACAGGTGAGCTGCACTGTTAAGTGTAGTCTGAGCTAAGAGTCCAGATTAGTTTCTTGATCGTTGGTTATTAGGTGATGCGTGTTACTTAATGTTCCTCAAGTGTTCTTATGTGCTCATTTTTTTTTTTTTTAACTATAAAAATGCTTTTTCTTCCTAGATGTTTAACTCTGGGGAAAAAAAAAAAATCTTCCAACATGAGAATCATAGAATAGTTTGGGTTGGAAGGGACCTTTAAAGGTCATCTAATCCCAGCCCCCTGCACTGAGCAGGGCCATCTTCAACTAGATCAGGTTGCCTAGAGCCCCGTCCAGCCTGACCTTGAATGTTTCCAGGGGTGGGGCATCTGCAGCCTCTCTGGGCAACTTGTGTTTCACCATCCTCATCATAAAAAATTTCTTCATTATATCTAGTCTAAATCTACCTTCTCTTAGTTTAAAACCATTGCCCCTTGTCCTGTCGCTACAGGTCCTACTAAAAAGTTTGTCCCCATCTTTCTTATAAAGCCTTATAATACTATTATGTATTGAAAGGCCACAAAAAGGTCTTCCCAGAGCCTTTTCTTCTCGAGACTGGACAACCTGAATTCTCTAAGACTTTCTTCATAAAATCCTGTTAAATAATGTTAGAGTTCCTTGTGTTGGTAGCGTATTCTGGCAAAACCAGTTTGAAGTAATTAAAAGTTGGACAGCACCGCCCTCCCTTTTTATACAAGAAGAAACAGTAATATTATGAGGTGTTGAAATTCTTTTGTAGGCATATGTAGGAGTCATCATGAGTGTTAATTAAAAAATGTACCCTTTGAGTATACTTTCAAGCAAGTGAAACAACTGTTTTGTAACTGTTCTGTCTGAGACTCATAGAACGCAGGGTTTTTTTATTATGGGTAATAGACTCTGTGTTCATGGAGAAATACTGAATTGAGTTTTTTCAGTTGGCATTCAAGCCATTTCTGCAGCCTTAAATATGTTTGTCCTTATAAGAAATTAATTTTCAAGATCTAGATGTGTCCTTCTATTTGTATGCCTGACACAAGCCAACACTGTCAGTAACGTTTCCTTCTGATGGGGAACACTCAGTAACCAGCTTGGTTAAAGGTATTTAGCAATTCCGAAATAAACTTTAAACAGTCTCTTAGCTATAGCCAAGAATGCTGTGTAAATCCCATGCTGCCAGGTGCTGGGAATTGAAAGTGTGGGCAGTACAAACTTAGGACTACAGAAGTCCTTTCTGTATTTCTAGCTGCTGAAGTGAATTCAGTCAGAAGCAGCATGGGAAGATGCTGTACAGTATAAACATATGCAGAGTTGTGTTTTGATCATCTATCCTAATAGAGAGAGACTATTAGGAGACTCCATACTCTTCTGCAGACTTTGAATCTAATACAGCTTCCTGAAAAGACAGTTTGGATCTACTCAAAGTGGCTTTTCAGCCTAAGGAGAGATGAGTTAATTTATACATGACTTCCTGAAACTCGTTTTCTCTGTCTTTTATTTTATTATTTTTTTTAATATTGCTTTGCTGTTTAAGTCATAATTGTTATAAAAAGTAATTTCTTCCAAAGTTGTTATCTCTGGCTGGACGGACTTTCAAGAGCCCAATTGCTTGTTGCTTGAAAAGCTGAAGAGAATGTAAGTGATTCTTGCCCCTGTTTCCTGTTAATGATGAAATAACCCTTGTGTTTTGATTTTGTGTAGGTATGACCGTCTCCTTGAAACATGTTCCATTGCACTTGTTGGCAAATACACCAAGTTTTCAGATTCCTACGCATCTGTTATTAAAGCACTGGAGCATTCTGCACTGGCTATCAACCACAAACTTGACATTAAGGTAGGGGTGGCTGCATGGGGGGAGGGGGGGGGGAATTAAAAAAAAAAAACCCACCCAAAAAATTCCCTCCTCCCCAAAACTTCCACCTACAGTGCTATCCATCTTAATTTTTTCACAAACCCATAGATAACAAGGGAGAGGTGATTCAGCCAGTAAAGTTGTCCTTAGATTACAGTATCGAAACATCTGTTGTCAGACATAAAGCAGCTTCAAAGTAAACCAGCCTTTCATCCTGTAAGATGTACAAGGTATCAGTATAATTGGTGGGAACTCTTCAGAGCTTAGTGTTGTGTGCTGAACTGTGATTGAGTGGTAGATATATTTGAGGAGGTCACTGTATGCTTTAATTTCTCTGACAGTTGTTGAAAGTGATCCTTTTTTTAGGGTTGTTGCTGTTAACCTTGTACTCACAGGTTTTATGACACTTCTGCCTTGGGCTTTATCAAGGTTTTAATGCTGGTTTGGCTGCACAGGTGCTTTTAAGGGTCTTGGTTGTAGCTAGATGCTCTGAGGAGGTCTGTGTATCTGTTGTCAGAAATTTTACTTTCATTTAAATATATGTTTTAAATATCCAGTGGTTTCATGATGCCAGTGAGTCATGGTGATAGGTGTTTCCTTTGTAACAGCACTGTTCAGTGTTTGGGTTACCTTTCAACTTACAAAATCAGTAGAGGAGAAAAGAAGAAAAACAAGTAAGACCAGTGAAGAATAAACTGTGTGCATGCATCTCTGAGTAGTTCCTGTTACCGCTGTATTGGTATGGTTCAGAAGGGGAATGATGGGTTCTGCGAGCCGCGTGCATGGAGGTCTTATGTTGGGTTAAAGAACTGTGAGAGCTGTTTAGCAGTATTCCAACCTTTAAAAACAGAAAAAAAAAAAAAAGACAAAAGTCCTTTTGTTCAAAAGGACTATCAGACTGCTAGAACATTCAGAAGTTCAGACGTACTGGAATAGTGGAGTTGAGAAACTGGAAAATTTACAGGTTTTTCCCATATGTAGCATTGGTCATAACATCCTTTAATTACAACAGCCTGTGTTCCACCATATCCTATTTGTTCTTCAGTCCCTCTTGAAGATTAAATTATGTATATTTGATGAGATTGTGATTCAGCTTTGTTCTTGCTGTGTGGGTGTTTGTCTGCATAGCCATGTGTTCCCATCTCACTGTGCTCCATTAAGACTTTATGTTTAGTGAGTCTGGGTCTCTTCGACTTCACGTACATCACAGCAGAGCTACAGAGAGGTGAAGATAGAAAAAGCATGGCTTCTGTTTGGTAGTAGGATGGTGGAAGAAAGGAGTTATGTTGACTAGCAGACAGGAGAAATCAGCCCAGAAGAAACAAGCAAGTATCCAGTAGGAAACAAATCCAGAGCTATCCAGCAGGAATTATGGTATCTTAATTTAATGAGAATTATGGAGACCCTGTACACTCTTGTGGCAGTATCTCATCATCCTTTTTTGGATTTCTTCCCAGTATATTGACTCTGCTGACTTGGAGCCAGATACTCTGCAGGAAGAACCTGTCCGATACCATGAGGCATGGCAGAAGCTGTGTGGTGCTGAGTAAGACTCTTACACTCTGGCCGTTTATTTGGAGCATGTCTGATAACCTTGGTGCTATTGACAGTTTTGGAATTGTGAGCCTCACTGGAGACTGTTTTCTTAAGCACAATACCAGCATACCCTGACATTGCCCCAAATACCTCTCAATGAAATTTAGGATAAGATGCAAAATGAAGAATTGTTAAGTCAGGGAGTTTGTAAAAAAGGCAGCAGCTGGGGAGATGTTTGTGCACAGGCTTAGTGGGGAAACAGGGTGAGAGGAAATAAGAGGAAAGGATAGGTACTGGCAAAGGCTATTAAAGCCAAAGAGAGAGTACAGAAGGTGTAAATGTGGTATAAAGTTCTTTAGGAAGAACATGTGAGAAGGGGAAAAAGCATTAGGATGCAGAGCAGTGCCAAGAGTTAGCCCAGAAAACAAGAACAAGTAGGGCTTTAGCTCTCAGAATCAGGCTGTGGGTGGGACCAGGAGAATGAAGGACCTCCTGCAGAATTTGGTGTCCTTGTGCCTGTGGTTAGGACAACCTGACACTGCAGCCAGCAGCCAGCTCAGCATGGGCCTGCCTGGCTGATGTGTTTGTAAACATGTTCGGTGCAGAGCACATCAGTCATGAAATCTAAACCATTCTGGTATTGTAACCTGCACTGTATTTGGGTTTTCTTGGGAAGGTAAAATTTGCATTTATAAAATGTTTCCCTGAAAATTCTGTGACATTTTATGTGACACCTCATGTGAAGTCATATGGAAACTGAGCTGCAGACAGGCCTTGCACATAGGGCACTTTAAAGCCCTTTTTAGGAGTGAGGTCTTGCAAGCCCAAGATTCTATGGGAGAAAGATGGTGTGTGGCTGGGGGGCACCACGTTGGTGAGCCCCAAGTGAATGGAATCTTTTCATCCTTATGCAGTGGAGTTCTGGTTCCTGGTGGATTTGGTGTTCGAGGGACAGAAGGCAAAATTCAAGCTATTTCTTGGGCAAGAAAACAGAAAAAACCTTTCTTAGGTGAGAAACATTTCATTCATAAGGGGGAGGTTGAGTAACAGCCTAACTGGTCTGCAGCAAGAGCTTTACTGATTTCCATTAGTATCTAAAATGTACAGTTTTGAAGATAATGTATCGAGGAAAGCCATCTGGGTAATACAGCTGTCATCTGTAGTTAGCTCCGAAATGGTCGGAGTTGGCTGGTGTGGGATGACAAGGAATCTCTGTAATGAGGGGCTGGGAGTCTCAGAGAAAGTTTCAGAGGAGGCTGTGGTGATCTTGGCACAAAGAAATATGTGACTGCATTTAATAGACATTGAGAGACTGGAGATGTCACGTGAGCAGAGTGGATAGGGAAGGGAGGGGTAGAGTAAAACTTGTCACAACTACTTGGTACTGAGTGAACAGACCCCAGAATCCAAGTGAAAGGTCTGTCTCATCCAGGTTTTCCTCTCACTCAGGGCTGCCCTGTGAAGGTGTGTGTGCTTTGCATCATGGGTGTGGTGGTCCTTGTCCTGACTTGATCTGTGTTCTGCCTTGCCTTCTGCAGGAGTTTGTTTGGGAATGCAGTTAGCAGTTGTGGAGTTTGCACGCAGTGTTCTTGGTTGGCAAGGTAATTGCACAAAACGCTTCCTGGGTTTTGGTCATTTATTTGATTGCTTGAATAATACCTGTAATTTTAAATTTTTCACTGGTAGGTAGATTTAATTTTTTTATAGTCCTGTAAAATTCCCCATCTCCTTTGCTGATTCAAAGGAAAAAGAACAATTTCCTTATCCTATTCAAATCAAGATCAAGGGAGTAAGGCATGCTTATAATGACAGAAGACTTTCTATGGCTTAGAGTGAGATTCAGCTCCTGAAAACACCACCTCAGTGGCGTTGTGCCGATGTGTGCTGGACATCCTAAATTCCCGTTACAGCCAGCAGGAATGAAGACCAAAAAGCAGTTCAGCTGACCAGATAGTTGTACCTACTTCACTGAGTTGAATTGCTTTCTGGTCTCCACTGCTTGAATTGACTAGGTCCCTGTTGTCAAAACTCTCTTTACAGAGTGCTAGATTTAGTTTCTCACTAGTAGTGAAGGTAGGGGAAAATGTCTTTCTCAGAGTACTTCTGCTCCCTTCCCCCTCCTTGGCTTTATTTCAGATATTCTAAGCTGTTGACTGTGTGCTTTTCCTGAATGACCCTCGCTTTTATCACCAATTGCACTAGACTGGCTGCCCTAAGATTGCAACCTCCATGCAGTCTCAAAAATTCATATCAAACAGTGCTGACAGAGCCCTGTTCCTGCAGTTTGGGCTGAGCCAGCAGCTCCGTGCTGGTGAGTGGCTTGGCACAGTTAAGGTTGCCGCTTGCCAGAAGCGCAGGACTGAGATGCAGCTGTACCTGGGGGAGGTCCTGTAAATGCACCTCCTGGTGTGAGGGACTTGGTGTTTCTAATTGATGAAAGTTTCATTGCAGATGCTAACTCGACAGAATTTGATTCCAAAACTGCTCATCCAGTGGTGAGTTCATGGAGACTTCCTTGTAATGTCCTTACTGTGCTAGACTTCTCTGCACGCAGATGTTGGTACAGTTACGAGCTTGGATTATGATGTTTTGTGGCTTTTAAGTCTGTCTTCCATCATTTACTAATCTGGAAAGAAAATGGTTTTGCCTAGTTAACTGTATGGCAGTTGCTGCTTCATAGAAGGTTACAGTGCTTATTATAGGTGAAACTCTGATATCTTTTTATTTATTTTTAATTACACTTTTTCATAAAACAAGGTGTTTTCTAAGAGGTAAAAGGTTCTTAAAGGGCAGTCTGAAAGCTAACTGATTTCACAGAGTAAATGTTAAAGATTTGGTGATATCCAGATTCCGCTGCCTAACTGTTTAATTATGATCTCAGAAATTAATATAGACAGGCATAAATTCATTAGAACATTTGTGGACAGATTTCTGAACCTGTCTTTCTTAGCAGGCTCTATGTGCCTTGTCCAAGGTCTACCATAATGATTGGCTTCTGCTATAATTTAAAATGCAACTCAAAAGGAAAAAGCTTTTAGAAAAACAGCTTATAAAGTTAATTATTGAAGTATAAATGATTCTGATTTGGGGGTTTTGTTTCTGTAAATCTGCTTGCTTGTTTGTTTACATTTAGTTCAGTAAGTAGCACATTATTAGTGCATGGGATCTGTGTGGGCTTTGTCTGAGACCATTTCCTATGCTAAAGCTTCGTGAATACCCGCAAACCTTCCGTATGTTCTGTACAGCCTTTACCGGAGTAACTCAGCTAATTAATCTAGTTCTGTTGGTCTGCCTTATCAAGAAAATGTTCCTTGGGTAGGCTTGCCTGTTTTCTGTATGGATGCAGGGTTTTTCCCATCATTAATGTTTCAGAGTCTGCCTGGCACTGTTGTCCCTCCCTCAGTCTCACCTTTCCTCTCTGAATGCTTTTTGCAGGTCATAGACATGCCGGAACATAACCCCGGGCAAATGGGTGGGACCATGAGGCTTGGCAAGAGAAGGACACTCTTCCAAACCAAGAATTCGGTCATGAGTAAGGCATTTCTTACCTCTTTTGGAAGTGTTTCCTGGGAATGAGGTGCATGTATGGTGGGTATGGGGAAGTGAGACCTGGGAATGTTAAAGCATTCGTGAATGGTAGGTGTTTGCAGACTTCGTTAGAGCAGTGAAATGGAGATCAGTGCGTTTGGTCTCTGTTAGAAGTGGCAGATTTTGATGGATGCCATTCCTATGAACTTGTTAAAACTTGGCATGGTGTGAACTGCTTGACATTTGCTCTAAGAAACGTCTTCCTTTTGGTGTAGGGAAGCTGTATGGAGATCATGATTTCTTGGAAGAGAGACATAGACACAGATTTGAGGTAAAAATGCTGCTGTAGGTATTGAGCTTTTCTGTGTCATCCAAACACAAGAGATCATGGGTTTTCTCGCTTCTGGTCTTCTAGGTCAATCCAGAATTGAAAAAGTGTTTTGAAGAGCAAGGTTTGAAGTTTGTAGGCCAGGATGAGGAGGGAGAGCGAATGGAAGTGGTTGAGTTGGAAGGTGAGTACTTGAGCAGTTTGTGGGTGTAGGTATTTACAAAGGAAAGTGCATGGAGGGTAAGCAAGCAGGTTTTTGTGTGGGACCGGTCCAGGCTCTCTCAGAATGATTCCATCCATAAAATTATACTAGAAGAATCCCATGTGCCTGTCCATTTAGGGACAAAAGGCAGGATAGAAATGACACTTCCCTGTCATCAGGGCTTCAGTGTGATCAGTGCTTTCAACTGCAGTTCAGCCACAGGCTTAAGAGACTTGACATTAATATTTTCTGTTTCTTCTTCTCAGAGCATCCTTTCTTCGTTGGTGTTCAGTACCACCCTGAATTCCTCTCTAGACCAATTAAGCCATCTCCCCCATACTTTGGCCTCCTCTTGGCATCTGCAGGAAGACTCACGCATTATCTACAAAAGGGCTGCAGGCTCTCACCCAGGTAGGTTGGAGGAAGATACCAGTCAGACCTTTCACAGGCCAGTGCTTCTTTCTACTGGATAAACCAGAGAATCCTCTTAGCCCAGAGTTACTGCAGAGCAACTAGGGGGTACTTGCAGCACCTCTTCTTTCCACATTTTCTTTGATTGCATTTTAAGATTGACTGTAGTGCCACAGTAGTGCGTGTCCTGCAGTGAAGTCCCAGCTTCAGAGAGAGTAACTGCACTCTTGTGTTGTCAGTCAGAGGTGTTTGGGGAAACTGCAGCTGGTGCTGCTCTTTTAGATGATTGGAGTCCTCATGGGATTTTCCCCACATTCCTTGTCCAAGTCCTAGGTACAGGTTGGTCCTTAAGAAACTTGTTCTTGTTGCTGGTTTAAAGAATTGCGCCCTGGTGGTTGCAGCTTCATTTCCTTTTTTATTTTTATTTTTTTTTCCCTGCTGACTTAAGCTTTCTTTTGTCTCAGATTGCAAAGCAACTAATGTTTTGGGTAGACTTAATAGTGCATTTAGTTTCTTCTGCTGCTCCCTAATGCCTTGCAGTTCTGCTTGGCAGTCATGGCAATATGCAACAAATAAACATCAGTTTGGTAGTGACCCATTTTTTTCCTTATAGAGGAGAATGCAGGGGACTTGCTTGTGTAGCTGGAGTGCTAACATACATTAAACAAAAAACCTCAAACTAAATGCAAAAGAGAAATATCACTGACTGAATTAAACTAAAGCAATGCAAAAAGGCAAGTATCGGTCTTTCTGGGTTGAGCTGCAATGGCAGCTGCACCACAGGAATTCCTGTGTCCGATGTCTGGAGAACAGCTGTCAGTTGTTTGACTGATCTGCTCTGAAGAGAGTTTCTGTGCGAAGATGTCTCATTTCAATGCTTCCAAGGGTTGAGGGATATTTTAATTTCCTGCTTTTGCATATTTGAGTTTGAAATGGCTTCTCAGAGCAGAGGAGCTGAAGTTTCGTCTGCACTGCAGCATCCTAAGTTAGTATTATCTGCTCTTGGAGTTGTTTTAAAAATCATGTTTCAGTATTTAAAGGGTGGCTACAGAGAAGGTGGAGACTCCCTTTTTACAAGGAGTCACACGGAAAAGGCGAGGGGTAATGGGTATAAGTTACTGCTGGGGAGATTTTGATTGGACAGAAGAGGAAAATTTTTCACAATGAGAACAATCAGCCATTGGAATAATCTCCTCAGTGAAGCAGTGGATTCCCTGGACACTTTGAAGATTCAGCTGGACAGGGTGCTGGGCCACCTTGTCTACACTGGTCTTTTGCCAAGAAAGGTTGGACTAGATGATCCTTATGGTCCCTTCCAACCTGGTATTCTGTGATTCTGTGGGTGTGGTCACAAATTGTTTCGTGGTTAGTGTACAGTCTAAAAATGCCCAGCCTGTACTCTCCTTTATTCATGTGCCCTTGTAACTCTCATCATATTGTCAGGTAAGTCTCATCATTGCTCCCTGATGAGGTTTGCCTGCGACAGCAAACCAGGGGGAACAGACTATACACTTGAGGATGGGACCACTGTTTGGAGGGACCTGGTCTGGAGGAGTGGGCTGACAGGCACCTGATGAGGCTTAACAAGGACAAAAGCAGAGTCCTGCATCTGGGAACCTCTTACAGTAACCCAGGCTGGGGACTGAGCAGCTGGGGAGCAGCTCTGCTGGCGAGGTCCTGGTGAACAGCAAACTGAACATGAGCCAGCAGTGTGTGCTGGCACCCAAGGAAGGATGAACAGCAGCCTGGGCTGCGTGAGTTAAGAGCAGAGTCAGTAGATGGAGAGAAGTGATTTTATGTCTCTTTACTGGGCGTTTGCTAGACCGCATCAGTGCAGTTTGGGGTCACCAGTACAAGTGAAACGTGGATGAATTGGAGAGAGTTTGGTGGATGGCTGCTAAGAAGGTCAGGAGGTTGGAGTACTTGCCCTGTAAGTAGAGGCCAAAGGAGCTGAGCTTGTTCAGCCTGGAGAAGGGAAGACTTTATGGGACTTGAGCAGCCTGCCAGCACCTACAAAAATGTTATCAAGAAGATGAAAACAGGATCTTTGCAGAAGTGCATGGTGGGAAGACGAGACACAACGGACAAAAATTGAAGTAAGAGAGGTTCCGACTGGATATAAGGAAAATCTTTTTCACCCTTAGATCAGTCGTGCGTTGGTGCAAGTTGCCCAGAAAAGCTGTGCAGTCTCAGTCCTTGGAGAATTTCAGAATGTGACTGAGTAAAGCCCTGAGCAGCTGTGTCTGATCTGATAGCTGCCCCTGCAGTGTAACTGGCCTGAGGTCCCTTCCGATCTGAATTATTTTGCAATCTGAAAAAGCTGTTTAAGGGATTAAAGTCAATCAGCTGTTACTGGGAAGCTGAAATAGAATGGCTTATGGGTGGTTAACCAGTCTCCTATTTCATGTTTAATGAATTTCAGTTGGAATAACTTTGCCTTATAAAATGACTATTATATGTACAATCATTTTAGTTCACAAACCTTGAAATTGGTGATGACTCAACCCTGTTTCCAAAGGGACAGCTACACTAGGAATTCTGTGTGCTCTGCTTCTCAGCCTCAGCTAGCAGTACATACTACCAAGCCCTGCTAATTGCTGATGCAACTCTTAAGTCTGTAAAGCACTTGTGCTCTGTAAAACAAAAATTCTTTTTGAATTCTGCAGGGACACCTACAGCGATAGAAGTGGCAGCAGCTCACCTGACTTGGAGATAACGGAGCTGAAGTTTCCATCAGTAAATCATGACTGATTCCTGGTAACTTTTCATGACCTCAACCTCTTTCCTTACGGAAAAAATTCCTTGCCCAGTCTTTCCTCCTGGCATCTGAATGTTTCACATCAGTTGGTAGAAAACTGGCACACCATGAAAAATGCACATGTTCCAGCTGTGCTGAGGGATGCAGAATACCTCGTGTCCGTGTAACAGATGTGGGTGGGTATTTTCTTAGCAAATTGACACATAATAAAGTATAAAAATACATGCAGGAGTTTGAGATTAAATTCAAATAAAGAAACAAAGCACAAATATAGCACCCATTTCTGAAAATGGAGGCAAAGCTGAGCAAGGGGTTACTGGATTTAGAAAGCTTAGTATTTTGGGAGCAATCTCTCACTTTCACCATTTTTGAAATAGCCATTCTCCTCGATCTCTTGAGACAGCAAGTTTCTCTGTCAAACTGTAGTAACTGCTGCAGGTGTTACGTGGATGCACAAATTGGATGCATATAATCCAGTCTTGGAGGGGGGGCACTAGAACCTAGCATTGAGACTTCACCAGCAGAAAAGGTAGACTTAATTTTTAGATGCCTTCTCCCTTTGTGAGGTAGGTCATCGTGGATGTAACACTTTTTCCCACTGCTCTGGCTGGTTTTGTGTTTGTGTTCTTGGAGAAGTTAAGCAGCATTTGTGCACACGCATGTCGAGTGAGAGTAGGGGTCTATTGCTAAATGGCACGGGACCGAGGATGTCCAACTGGTCGCTCTTCCCCCTTTCCTTCATGTGACAGATGCTTCCAGAGTTAACTGTAGAGCGAAGATGAGGGTTAGCCCGAGTCCAGCACAGATTTACTTCCCCATCCCTGGTCACAGGCCTGGGCATTTGTGGTGCCGAGGGTTGCTGGGTGTTGGGTTGTTCCAGATCTGATACAGCAGCAAACTGAAAGCGGAAGAATCCTCTGTAAATTCTTAGCCTTCTGAAGATATTCTGAACTTTTGGCTCGCTGGCAGTAGCCACTGTGCTCCCTAATGTGACGAGTCTGGGTGCTGCGTTGATACCCAGTGGCTTGGAGGCCGACCCCAAATGAAGAAATTGTAGGGAAGGTGACACTGGCGTGTGTGGTGTGTCCCCTGTCCAGCTGACTGGCCTGCTGGAACATGTCTCGGCTCAACTCTCAATAACTACACCATAATGAGGATTTTCTTTTGGTTCCTCTGCCGTGGGCAGTGCTGAGAAGGGCATGAAGTTAATTCTTAGCTTAACAGTGCTCACTCCCTACATTTTATTTAAAAATAGACTTCTAGGAGCTTGCTTTCTTAGGGGTGTCCTACACTGGTCTTAATGTTGCCATAGTGCCCCAATAAAACTAACAGACATCTCTTACCCTGGGAAGGGGAGTGTTGTCAGGTCCGTGTGTCCGGGGTGATGTATGTAAGACTCAGACTTCAGTGTTGGGTGTGATTCCAGCCTGTTGCTCTTCACTGTCAGTAATTCCTGCTCCTTTTCTTTCTCTTTCTCCAGATCTGTCTTCGCTGAAGAGTCTTCATTAGATTGCTCCAGGCATTCTTACAGCAATAGCTTGAACACTGTCAGCTTTGGGCTTTCTTAAGTTATGGTTTTATAATTTTCATTATGAAATCCTGTCCCTTTATTTCCTCAAATCTGTCCTTTGTTTATTTTCTGCATAGATTCTGTATTTCTGGAGGAGAGCTCATCACAGCACATGCACCTCTTGACTTGCTTCAGTTAGCACCGTCTTGGAGAAAAAGAGCAGATTTGGGTATGAGATTTGATGTGTAGGGGGGAGTCCAGCCGCGCGCGTCCGGCCTGACACGTGGTAACGCCGGCAGGGGTTCGTACCTTGGACACTGACAGCTGAGTTGTTTCCTCCGGCCTTTCTGCTCCCTCAGCAGTCTTCATCGCTTACTGGTGAAATTATGTGGATGACACTAGATTTTGGAGGCTTGCTCAGTTCTTGAGCTGTGCTGTGCTGCAGAGGATGAGGCTGTTCAGCTTTATGCAGTCTTTTTTTGTGGGGGGGAGGGGAGGGGGGGCAGGGAATGCTTTGTTCTTTCTTGTGTTTTTGTTTGTTTTTTGTTTTTTTTTGGTTTTTTTCAGTAGTATTTAAAAAAGTTTGGCACTGGTAGTCTTGGTGCACTCATTGCCGGCAATGAACTTTTAACTGGGAAAATCTTCCTGGAATAGAGTTAATCTGGAACATGATCAGCTCTAACTGTGATATGTCACTCTGCAGGGATGCAATTAACTTGGATCGACTTGGGGGGGGAAAAAAAAAAAAAAAAATAGCAAAACTGTCAGGAAAGCCCATTGTTGCCTGAATTGAGGCGTAACTGTTAGCCCTTTCTATGCCAGTGTTTGCTGGTGCTGCTTCTTGGGCTGGGAAATTTCAACTCCTTGCATCAAGGGGGAGGTACAGAAAAGGAAGTGAACTACTTCAGCTGCTGCCTTGCCAGCTCCCGCTGTCACCGCCTGGGACTGAGCAGGTCCTGCTGTGCTTTTTCCTCGATGGGAAGCGGAGCCTTCGCTGCCTCTCACAGGGCGGAGCTGCGTGCGGCCGGGCTGCTTCCCGCCGCGGTGTTACTCGGCTGAGTTCCCAGACAGGCGCTGTCCTACGGTGACGAGCTCAGCTTTGCAGTTCTGGGGTGGGAAATGCACTTGTGCTTTTCTTTTTTTCCTTTTCCCCTGCCTTTTGCTGCAGTGTAATCAGCACAGTTTTTGATCTTTAGTAATTTAGAAGAAAGGAAGAAAGTGTCTCAGTTGTCTGAAGTGGTGTGTGTTCAGACCTCTTTAGTTCATTGAAGTTTGGAGAAAGCTGTACGTCTTGAGCCTGGCTGAGTACTAACTGATGCCAACCTTTAATTAAACACTGTCCTGTCTCATCTTCAGTGATCTTTTCCACAACCGTCTTGCTTTATTCCTCAATTATTTTAAATATACTCTGTGAAGCTGCTTTGACCCGGGAAAGCTTTGAGCATTCTTCATACGTGCCAATTGTAACAGTTCTGCAAAAATGATCAGCCAAGCGGAGATGCTCTTTGTACTGAACAGACACTGGCCGTGAAATGGCTGATCCTCTAGCAGTGTGAGATCACTCCTTATCTGTAGTACAACTTTATTTGTTTTCTTCTGAAATGTTTTTGTTTCTGCCAAAACTGTGCAACTGACTCAGTCATTAAATGCTTATTTGTAATAAAATAAGTAGCCAAGAGCTTGCTCTGACTTCATAGCTCACAGGGAGGGAAAGGACTGGAGTATAATACTATTTTAAATGAATCCAGTGTAAGCTGGGAAAAGTTTGTTAGCTGTATTTGTAGTGGTTTTTAGACACGTATTTCCAAAGTCTGGCTGAAATTACGGGGCTTTCCCCTAGCACTAGAGAAACCTGGGAAACTGGGCCTGAGCCCACAGCCTCCGCAGGGCAGAAAAATCACCGTTTTTAACGTACTGATGCTGCGCGGTGCCTCTTGGATGGGCCGCTCCCTCTCCCTCCCCAGCTGCTCGCCTGCTGCCCGCCGGGGGCTGCTGTGCCTCGCTGCTCCCCCAGGAGCACTGAGAGCTTTGCCTCTGCTCTGGGCGAAATCGTTGGTTCCCCCTGCCCCACGCTGCCCTGGGGACCAGTGTCCCAGGGCCCCCCTGGGGGGCCGAGGCTCCCTGCAAAGGCTGTTAATTATACTGTTAATTATACGGTCAGCAAAGAGAGCTGACTGCCTTGGGGTGGGAGGGCTCAGCTCCCCCCAGGACCAACCCCGCAGCCCTGGGGCCAGCCCAGCTCTCCCCTCCTGCCTTCACAGCCCAGCTGGTGGGCACGGTGGTGAAACCTCCCAGCTGGGCTCCCGCTCTGGGGAGGGGGAGTCCCGTGTGCCTGGGGCGGGGGGGGGGGGCTCTGCTTTGATGCCTGCCTTTAGCTGCTGCTTCTTAGCTGGGGCTGCAACAGGAATGAGCATTTAAAGGAAGAGGCGCAGAGAAATTTTACGAATAGACTAGGCTTGTCAGTGGTGCTGGGGAGCGGGGTCGCTGGGGGACACACGGCACCACCGTACCTCAACTGCTCAGCCCCATCCAGCCTAGATGGGTGGATCCAGCCCCAAGCTGGGCTCAGCTGCTGTGGGACTGGGGGGGGCCACACGCTCGCTCCCACTGCTGTCCCGAGAGGGCTGGTGGCTGGGGGTGCCAGCGGGGTGGAGCCCCAGGTCCCCACCAGCCCAGGCCGGGAGCATCACACTGCTGCCAAGTGGCCCAGGGGGTGACTTTGGGCCAGAGGCACCTGAGTCCTGGGGTGCCCGGTGAGCCCCATGGCTGCAGGAGGCCTGGGGTGCTTTGCCCACCTCCCTGACCTCCAGGACCAGCCAAGACCTCCTGCTCCCCAGCAGCACCCACCTCCCTGCCCCCCTGGGGCCTGGCTGCCTCTCCCTCATCCTCTCCACCCACCACCCTTCTCCCCTCGCCGCCAGCCCCCGCAGTGGCACAGCGTGCTCCAGCTGCAGCTCCAGCCAGGACACACTCCCTGGGCTTGCTGCACATGAAGGTGAGACCCACCGTGGCATCATCCCCACCCCGCTGTGGTGCCACTGCAGGCCCAGCCCTGCTGGGGGGGGCACACCCAGAGCACCCCGGCACGTGCTGCAGGTGCCCTATGCGTGGTGTGGGGCCTGGCTGGGCCCCCCCTGGGGGTCTCTGGCCACTCTCTGTTGCCCAGCCCTGGCAACAGGGGAGGGGAGCTGGAGCAGCCCCTGACAGCTCCCAGGGGCTCCCGACCACCCTGCAGCTGCCCAGATGTGGGGCCCGTGGTCATGGCAAAGGTCTGTGTTGGCAAGTAATGTGGGGGGGGGGCTCCGCTGTGCTCCCCACCTTGTGCCCGCTGCCTGGCTGCCAGTGGTGGCTGCCTGCTGGCACCTGCCTCAGGGCAGACGTGTGGCTTTGAGGTGTGTTTGCAGCGACGGGGTCAGGGACTCAGGGGCTGCTCCCTGCCCCAACACCCTCCACAAGCTCTGGGCAGGAACAAAGAATTGGGACAGCCTCTGCCTGCACCACGGCCAGTCCTGTGCTCTGGCACTGGGACCTGGCGGCTCCGGCCCAGCCAGCACTGGGACGGTGCTGGTGTTTATGTGGCAACGGGGTCCTGCCAGCGCGGGGACCTGCAGTGCTTCCCTGCCAGGGATGCTGCTGGGGGAAAAAAAAAAAACCCGGTGAGCAGCAAAGAGTTGCTTTGGACAGAACCAAGCCCCGGTTGAGGCTTCTGAGAGGCGGAGCTGCAAAGAGCAGGAGCCTGGGGGTTGTCGGTGGGGCAGAAGCCGATGCATCTCACTACTGGCACTGTTGGTCTGTTTCCCTCAGCCCACGCGTGGCCCGGCCTCCCACGCAGAGCCCCGGAGGGGCAGGGCAGCAGCAGCCGGGGCTCGGCCTCACCGACACCCCGCTGCCTGCCCCCGCGCTCCCGTCAGAGCACACACACCCATCAGTGCGGAACGCAGTTATCCTTTTATTTATAAACAAATCAACGTAAAATAAGTGCAGAGGAAAGCACTGGCTGACCCCGGCACGGGGACCTGTCTGCAGCGGGATCAGCGTCGGGTATAAACGAGGGGTGTCCCCGGGCCAATGCTGTGAGCGATGGGGCTCAGCGAGTGGCCAGAGCCCCACCTCCCTCCGCCCACACTGCTGCAGCGGCCGGGACTGCAGCACAGCCTTTGCTCTATAACAAAGAGCTTTTTTATTACTTTGGGGTTGTGGGTTTTTTTTTTTTTTTTTTTTTTTTTCTTCTTTTTTGCAACTTTTCCCCTTAGGGGTAAACCTGACCCAGTGCAAGAGACTGGAGGGTTGTTTGCCACGGGGGCCCGCTCTGCGGCTGGCCAGGGCCCTCAAGGGTGGCAGGGAAGAGGGTGCGAGCCATTGCTCTGGATGCGCAGAGGGTGAGCTGAACACGGGGGAGAAAGAAGTGCTTGCAGCCGAGCTGCCCGGCCCGGCCCTTGGGGCACTGCGGAAGGGCAGCGTGTGGGAGGGTGGGAGCCGGCTGGGGGGGGTGGGTGGGTGGGCACCCGTGGGCGCCAGCCCTCGCCTCTCGCCCCCCGCCCTTCCCCAGCTGGTCCCAGCCCCGGCGGGTGACGCTGCCCCTGCTGCCCCGGGGACACGGCGGGGCGGCCTCCGCTCCGAAACTCCTCTCACAGCTGCAGTAACACGTCTGGGACAGCAAGTTACCGCTCAAGTGCCATCAAAAATAAATACATTAGACTGTCTGAAACAAACAGGTGCCAGCGGGCAGGGCCAAGCCCTTGCAGGAGGAGCAACGCAAGGACAGGTCACCGTGCCGTGCCGGGACCCTCTGACTTGCCAGAGCCAACACCCTCTTGTACGCGCTGAGCTGGGACGGACCAAAACTCCAGAGGACTGGGAGGGCCCCTGGGAAGACGAACCTTTGCATCTCCGGCTGTTAATCTCCAAGAGTTGCAAGTTTAACGACAGGTAGAAAAATCATTTCATCGTTTTAAACAGACAACTCCTTATAAAAAAATAAAAAAAAAAAAAAAAAAAAACTCAAAAAAAAGGAGAGAAGGATCAGTCGAGTCCTACAGCATCCAGCCAGCCTCTGGTGCCGACCCAGGCCCATCCTCACCACAGGAACGTCAGACCCAGCCACGCTCCTCAGCTCACTCCACGCTCCCAGGCAGCGCTGGGTGCTGCCACACGGCCTCCCCACTCAGAAATAAATACAAAGGGCTCCATCCCCGGCCCAGCATCCGCAGCTGGAGGAAGGCTGGGAGCTGAGGGGCAGAGCTGGGGATGCGGGGGGCCCCAGGGCTGGGCAGCCGGGCTCCCGCCAGGCGTGGAAGAACAGGGCTGGGGGTGGCCGTCGCTCGGAGCTCACCCAGGCGCTGCGGGAGCCAAGCGCGGGTCGGGGGCACCGTCCCCCCAGCCGCCCCGCGAAGCACAAAGCATCCAGCCCGCTGCCCCCCCGACGGGATGGGAGCCGAGGGCAGCCCTGAGCAGGCGAGGCTGGGAGCGCCCGAGTCACAGCGCGAGGGAGATGAGCCCAGGGCGAGCGCCCAGTCCCTGCCCAGAGCTGCTGCTCCATCCCGGGGAAGCGGGACTGGGAGCCCCACGGAGAAACGCCGGCTGGGCAGCAGGGAGAGAGGCTCCGCTTCCAGCAGCACGCCCACGGCTCCAGTCCTCTGCCAAGCCCCGGGGCCAACGGCGCGCCAGCCTCTGCCCGAGTGCCGCCCGCGCCTGGCCGCGGGCGGGGGGCCGGGGGGGTCCCTGCAGCGGGGCTGGGGTGTCAGCGAGGCGTCCGTCTGCGGCGTGAGTGGGTGTGTGTGCATGCGTACCTGTTGGCAGGCGAGCGTGGGTATGGATGGCCGGGAGCGGAGCTTCCAGGATCCGCCCTGCCAAGCGTCCTCTCAGAACTTGCCTTGCTTTAGCTTGTCGATGTGGTAAGTGAGCTTCAGGGCTGGCCCCAGCTTCAGCCCCATGTACTTCATCATCATGTCACTTCGCAGCAAAAGCAGGGCTTTCCCATCGATCTCCTGCGAGGAGGGGAAACAACAGCACTCGTGACTACACCTGCGAGCCCCACCGCTGGGCCGGGCCGTGCCCAAGGTGGTGACGGCTGAAGCAGCACGGCTGGGTGTGAGAGCGCTGCTCAAGAGCGGAGCTGGGCTGGACATCGCTGCAGCATCCCAGCGCAGGCCTGTGGGGGGGGTCTGGGGAGGTTTGGGTAGCAGGGAGGGGGCTCCGGCGGTGGCCCCGGTGAGAAGCTTCTCAGAGCTCGCCCGGCTCCACGTCAGACCCAGCTCTGGCCAGGGCAGAGGCAGTTAGCGACGGTGGCTGCGCCTCTGCGAGAGCGTATTTAAAAAGGAGAACCTGAGAGGGGGGTTGGGACTTGTGAGGAGGAGTCATGAGAAGGACGAACACCCAGAGCAGTGGCAGGAAGGTGAAGGAAGGTGGGGAGGTGTGCTGGAGCAGACCTCTGTATCCCGTGGTGAGACGGCAGGGCTGCCCCCCCGTCACCCACGGAGGTCACCGGTGGAGCAGAGGCCAAGCTGCAGCCTGTGGAGGAGCCTGCACTGGGACAGGCATCTGCACTTAAAGGAGGCCGGGACTCTGAGGGGAGAAGCGGCCCCCGCTGTTGTAGTTCGGTGCTGGGAGCACTGCAACACGTGGGGGGGACCCACAGCAGAGCAAGTTGGGAATGGCTGCATCCCTGGAGAAGGTTCGTGGAGGCCTGTCTGCAGTGAGAGGGGAGCCCCGGGGAGCAGGGGAGGGATGTGCGGCGTTCCCCCCACCTCCTGAGAAGGAAGGAGTGGCGAGCTGACTGTAACCACCATCCCCTTCCCCTGGCTTTGCTGGAGGGGGTAGGGAGATGGGGAGCAGAGCTGAGCCCGGGGAGAAGGGAGGGGTGGGGGAAGTGGTTTTTTTTGGATGCGGTGGTGCTTCTCACTGTCCCACCTTGTCTGTTAAATGTTGCTTTTGTTAACGTTTGAATTGATGTTCTTTTTCTTCCCCTAACGAGTCTGTCTTTTGCCCATGACCATAATGGGTGATCCACTCCTCCATGTCCTTATCTCAATTCCAAAGTCTTTTGCTTTCCTTCCCAGTGCTGGGTGGGAAGGGGTGAGTGAATGGCTGCGTGGTGTTCAGCTGCCCCCTGGGCTCAGAGCACAACTAGCATCCCTGCATCCCGCCCTGCCTGCAGCATGGGGCTTCATCCCTGGAGCCCTGTGTGGTGATGGGAAATGTGCTGGGTGATTAACACCATGCCCAGCTGGCCAGCAAATCCTGAAGGGAGGTGGGGAGGAAGAGAAAGTGGGGGGTTTCCCTGACAGGGGAATGACGGAGGCAGTGGCGGCGCAGGGGAGTGCTCACTCGAGGGCCTTGTCATCCCACTGCAGGAGAAATCTCCTGGTAGAGGATGCGCTGGCACCGACAGCAGTCTTGCCGTGGCACATGAGCCCTGAAGTCAAGGTTGAAGAAGGAGGCAAGGGACCAAACTCTGTAAACCCAAAGAGACTGCCGCTGCGTGCAAAGCAAATTTCTGGAGTTTCTAAGCAAAGTCCCAGCAGCTGGCAGAGCAACAGTGGAGTATCATCTCCAGCATCACAGCTTTCAAAAGTATGTGGTGCTTTACAGCTGAGCCAGATGTGTCCCTCACCGAGGCCTGGGAAGGGAGAGATCGCAAAGCTCGAAGTAACTGGAGAACAGCTTTGCACTTAGCATCTGCAAATGGAAGTTTTTCAGTCCCCTGTAACACTGTTTTCCTTGACGTGGTCCAGGCTTGGCCCAGAAGTTTGCAGTGGACAGGTTTCCACGAAGAAGATTTTAATGGACTTATAAATGAAAAATAAAAATCACAACTTCAAACAACAGAAAATCATGTCCTATGTTGATGCACAGTTAGGTCTCACACTTGATAAGATCTCCAGTAATTTCCAGTAACAGGTTTGTTCTGTTTCTTCTTTCTTCAGATGACAGTGAAGTTCTTCCTCAGGACTGGCAATACAGGGGACTTTCATCCCTTAGCAGAGTTGAGCACTGTGTTGCATAATTAAAACTAAACATTTTTCAGTTACTGGTGGTTCTAAAATAGAACTAATAACAAAAAAAAAAAAAAATAGAGAGCGTTGTCTGTCTCAGCCCAGCACAAAGTAAGAAGCATCCCATCTGCTTCTTCTGCCCGGGGAAGACAGGTATTTTCTCCTACTGCTCTTCTGACTTCATGAGCACCACCAGGTATAACATGGACTTAATCAAAAGGCAGAGGGAAGATGAACTGTGTGGCAGAAATCAGGACGTGGAGCTGCCAAGATTTTTGTAGCTTTAGTTGTACAAACTCCATGCTGTATGTCTGCAGCTATTTCACACTTAAAGGCTTGCACAAGAATCAGAGCCTTCGGAGACTTCTTTTTATAGGAAACGGGAGTTTAGCAGCAATGCACTCAATGAATTCCACTTGAAACATGTTTCTTGCCAGGAGAAATTTGCTGTGAGGTGAGTATTAAGACTCCAGGATGAAGAGGGTTTTGTGTTTGCAGCGCTAGGGTTCAAATCCAGCTAAGAGCTGAGCTCTCTGTACGCACAAAGGCAGTGGTGCTTGGAGCTATAGCTGGGCTGCGATGTCCTCCCCTCAACGATTTCTGAGTAAGAGGATCCCAAGCCTGAACACAACACGAGCAGGATTTATGAGGATGTTTTTCTTAGCACAAAACTCCAGCTGGTACAATCTGCTGCTGATCTTCTGACTCTCCTAGATTTTCCTTGTGTGATGATCTGCCCCCTCCCATATAGAATATACACACGTATATACACATGTACATACATATACAGACACACTTACATGCTTTCGAAAGAGGTCAGCATGGGGTCCCAGCTGTGGATCTGATTCTCGTATGAACTGCATCACCTCCTCCACCGTCCAGGACGAAGGGTCGCGGCTGCTGAGCCGTGAGACGTCTCGAGATCCAAGGTATCTATCGGAACCTGGGGGGAATTGTGAGACAGCAGCCATTACTCCGGGTATCCCCGCAGCGTCGCTCCAGCAGTTATTCACCCTGAATCTACCACTCGGTCTCCTCTCTCAAAACAGAGGCAGAGACAATGCAAAGGGCACGTCCCAGTCGTGCCCGAGAGTCCTGCAGCACAGGCCTAGCACCAAAGCCTTATTCGTTCTTCTTAGGCCTTACTTTTTGGGGCAGCCTTCTATACTGAGCCCTTTCCCTTACTCTAAACCCCAACTTCCCCTTGATCCCCTCCAGCAGGGTTTGGCTCCCACGTTCCCACTCTTCCTCGCCCATCTACTGCTGGTTCCCACCTCTGCAGAAGACAATCCTCTTCCATTCCCACTTCTCTCCCCACACACCGTTTCTGCCCTCGCTCCCCTACTCCAAACACCTTTAGCAGGGCTGTTTTACGTTTTCATCAGCTGTGTTTTCTGACTGACTGAGCCCATATGTGAAAATCTGTTGTCTTGAAGCATCACCTGAGCTACCAAAAGTCCTGCTCCCAACGTGCCGGCATCGGCCCAGCCCACTCTTACAGCTCTCTGCCTGCACACAGATGTGGGGGAAGGCAGACAGATCAAGGCATCAGCGGCATCAGCAGCATCAGCTTTTTAGAGGCTTATATAGATGCCGTGCACCTAAAATTACAACTTTTTTTGCAAACACCCGAGTTGACACGTGCTGATTTACTGCAGCGAACAGCTCTCCAGCCCCTGTCCCTCCACACAGACAAGTGCCGGTCACACATCCGCCGGTCCCCCTGGCCACCCCCCTGCTCCCAGCCTCATCAGGCAGTTCTCGACTCCCTGGCCATTCCTGATCCATCCTCATGGACTCAGACACCCCTTTATCACTTTGACAGTCCCCTGCCCGTGCTTGCAAGTTCAGCTCCTGCCTACCCCTTCCTCTCCACTGACTCCAGGTCTACCTAATCACCACACCAAACAAGGGACCCTGCAAGCATCACCTCTCCGCATTTCCACCCACCCCTCTGCCATGTCTCTAGAGCTACCGTTAAACCTAACAGACTACCTGTTTAACAGTGTAGAGGCCAGTCTCTGGTACTTGCTGAAGTTAGAAAGGTGTAACTGGAGTTAGAAAAGCCCTTTATTGCCAAATTTACAATCGGCGGGCTGGCTTCTTAACTCTCTTACCCCCAGAGCTAAGCCTACGCAAGGCAGAGGTACTGCCCTGGGTGAGGCTAGAGGGTTGGTGCAGGTGCCTGTATCCTTGCAGGCGATAGTCTCTGGAGCTCCTGCTGTGGCTGGATGAATTGACAGAGTTCAAGGCAGAGTCCATGGGGTCCAGGCGAGGCTCCAAGGGCCCTGGGAGGCCATCTCCCAGAACAAAGGTTTCACCTGGAATGCACCAAGCTGCAGTCAGTGCACCCGAACGCCACGCAGCCCGAAGGTACCGCTTGGCGGCACAAAGCAGAACCGCGGCACAGGCAGCGCGCGGCCGCGGGAGCAGGGCCGAGCCACCCAGGCGGTGGCCTCCTCGGAAGCGCAGACATTAAAACAGGCCCTGCTAAAGCGCTGCAGCCTCGCATCCGCCTGGTCATTGCCAGTCTAACCAGTTAGCAGCGACAGTGGTCGGTACCCAGGCCGGAGCGACAACCGCGCTGTTAATGCCAGCACCAGCTCAGGGTTGCAGTCCCGTGCCCTGACGGCTTCCAGAGGCCCTTCCACGGGCGCGGGGCACCGCAGTGCTGGCTGCCCGAGGCCAACAGCCCTGAGCGGGGAGAGGAGGCTCCCCAGGGGGGACACGTGCCGCACATCACTGGCGTTAGCGCGCAGGGTGACGGGCCAGGAGGTTGGGATTGTGGGGAATATTTAGCAAGACTCACGCTGTAGCCTGGAGAGCAGCACACGTGCAGAGCAGGAGGGAGCAGCAGGCTCCTCGGAGCAGCTCAGGTGCACTGTCACAGCCCGGCAGCGCGCTCACACCGTGCTGATCCTCTGGCCCCCAAACGCAAAGTGCTGGTGACCTGCTTGCTGCTCCCCCCTCCTGACCTCCTGCTGGGCCCTTTTTCATTCCTAACCAAGTTGGTGACCAACACCCTTTGCTGGGACATGAGCAGGAGGGACAGGGCAGAGGGCTCTCCCCAGGTAGGGGTCCCAGTGCGAGTCTGGCTTCCTCACATTCTCTTCCAGAAACACATTTAATTTTCAGCTGTCAATAGCAGCATTAAGATGGAGGGGCTGAGAAAATTATCTGGGGTGCTAAATGGTATGGTGGAGCCCACAAGATCCCCCTTTGTTGTTACACCATGACAGCTTCATCCTAGGACCACGTGTTTGTAGATTTTACTACAGCACGCACAACCTAGTCTCAGTCTAAGTGGACTCGATGCTTCCTGAGTCATCCTCAAATATCTGTGTTTTTTATTATGAAATACCTGGTAAGTTCATACAGCCGAAGAAGAAAGCAGTGCCTACAACAAGGGGTATTGCCTGCACACTCTAGGCTGAGCCACCACATCTGACTGGGAGCTGAAGCTTCTCTACCAGCAGCTGTAGAGACCCTGAGAGCAGCTCCCAGTCCCAAGCTGCTGTCACTCCAGCACCACAGCAGGTGACAAGGATGAAGAAACCTGAGCAACTGCCCCAGCCAGGCCCTGGGTTTCTTCCCTGGGACTTCCCAGACCACAGGAGCAGCAGGTGAGAAGCCAGCACAGTGAGGTTGTGCTGAACTGGGATGGTGGTGAGGGTGCAGAGTCGATGTGGCAGCCCATGAGACCCAAAAACTGTTGAAAGCTTCCCAAACTTTCTTGCTAGGCTGATGCTGCCGTGCTCCACTGGAGGGAGGTGCAGCTTGCCAGAGCCCAAAGCAGTATCTGAGTGTTGCAGAGGCTGGGCCCCACCAACTGGGGCCACCTCTCTTGGAGGCACGTTATTTTCTTTGGTGTCTATGAACTGTGGAACTATTCTGTGAACTGGGATCCTCTGGTTTCAGTGCTTCTGCCATCTGTGTTTGAGCAGAGATCTCAAGAGGTGAATTCAGGTGGAGGCAGCCAGCCCATACCTCCCCTGGCTTCATCTCATAAGGTTACAAAGTGGAAGCATCCCTCTTGCCTTTTTTGGGGGGGAATTCAGTGAAGTAGATGTGAGGTTATCATCTGCGTTACTGCAACATTCCATCTCGTGGGCTACGTTACTCTGCACTTGATCCATTTCTGCCTTTCTTTGCTTCTTAGGTCTCTGGGATGCTCTCAGAAAGCAGCAGCACATGCTTGAAATCTCATGTACCAACAGTACTGGTGTGAAGACTCTCCTGGTGACTCGTGCTGTGTGCTGGCCCGCATGTCACTAGCTTCCTGCGTGGGTAGGTGTGTTTTCACCTGTTCTCTATGCATAAAAGAAGGCTTTCTGACTCATAACTATTCCTGAATAACTTTGGATGCTTTCCCAGCATCCCATTTCAGCACAAGACTGGATGCAAACCCAGCACTGAGCTGGCTGCTCCGGCCCAGGGGTGGATAGAGATTAACTGGCCCAGGCCCAGACAGGCCCACACAGTGGATGCGACTTACACCAGTGGCACCCCCAGAGGACCTTCTTCACATCAACTACATTTGGTCTCCTTGCCAACACGACCGTTTTTCTTAAAACCCAAACCACTTCCCATTAAACAACTGTGCTGATGTCTGACTCACAGGAAAGTGCAGAAGCATGAGAGGGGTCAGTGGGCACAGCCCTGTGCACTGGCTGGGATGCTTTGTAACGGGACAATGGCTGTGGGCAGGGGAACAGGTCTGTGCTGCACATCTCCATCTTCCAAGGAGGCCCAGCACCCTCTGTGAGGTGATGCACAGCTTCAACTTGCCAGGAAGCCCTGGGACACTCACCCCAGATGGGCTGGGTCAGGAAAGTGTGCGTGTCTAACTGCTCATGAAGATCCCAAAGCTCACACAGAGGGGATCTGAGGCAGCAGAAGGAAGTTCTGGGCTCAGCTAGTGAAGACTACAGCTTGGGAGGGTGGGAGACCACATGCACAAGTTCATGTCGGTGCAATGCTACGGAGACAAAACTCACCCTCAGAAAGTATTTAACAATTAACACACTGTCGTTACTCTGATGTGAATGCACTGTGATGCTTTCTACAAATATGTGATCATGTTCTCACACATGCTTATGATGATACATCTGAAGAAGAGGACGGGGCCATACAACCAGGGAGCACTACTTTGCTTTGCCCAAGAGGTAGAATTGAAGCTGCATGTTCGTCCTCAGGTTACCCATCTCTGGACTGGTGAGTGCCTGGTTGTGCTGTAAATATTGCAGCAGAGCTGGAGCCTTCCCGGTAGGGTCAATGCAAAAGAGATTAAGGATTTTCTTAAAAATGCAAACACACAGAGAACTACTCAGATGAATGATACCTCCGGAAAGGGGAGAAGGATACAAGACAAGAGGGGAATGATTACTAGCCCTGTGAATCATCTGCAGCAGAAGACAACATGCTTCTGGAAGTGGCAGAGCACTGTGTTCAGGCATATACACGAACCAGAATCCTTCTGTCCTTGATAACTAGCTTTGGAGTGAGAAGGAGGTGGTTAATTCTTAGGTAGATTTTCTTATACAAACTGCTAGTTTTAAATAAAGGCTTGCATTTAGAGCATTGTAGGAAAACATGCCACGATTAGTGGCGGAGAGGCAGGGAGCAGATAATTAAAGTTTAATTAAACAAATAGTGCTATAGATTAAAGAGTGTTGCTTTACTGCTAAAAGATGGAGTTTGGCCACAAGCATAAATCTGATTTGCACAACTACTAAACACCCACTGTTTCCAAAAAATTATAGTCTTGGAAAAGCAGGTCCCCACTGTGCTGGAACTGCAGCTTCTTAGCAAAAAGCTACATAAATGCCACTGGATACAAGACGAAAAACAATGTAAGAAGTGAGATCCCCTCCTCATCTTTCTGACTTCTTGCCAAAGGCATGATGAACAAAGACTTCCCACTGCCTTCAATTTGGCAAATTGCAGGTACTGTTGTCTATCACACTGCTGAAGCCAGAATGTGCTCTGCTGGGAGAGTTCATCACCATGAGAAGATGTACGTCCTTGCTCAAGAAATATTCAACATCTGAGTATTTCAAGCTCATATTCTTAAAATATATCCTCTGAAATGCAAATATTTCTGTTTGTACTTAAATTTCATGGTGGAAGAGGATGAACAGGCTTTTAGCTGTGGGATAAAAATGAATTTCTAGATGGAATTTGGAACTGTACCTCATCTTCCCCTGCCCTGTACACCCTCTCCTTGGACCAAGAACTGAAGAAGAACAGAACAAGTTACTGTAGGAAGTTCACACAGCAACATGATCATCACTGTCACCTGGAGGCACACTTTCTGCCCACTTGTCTCTACTTCTACAGAAGAAGCTGGAGTATTCCGGGCATCCAGATGGCATGACCCATTCAAAGGCCAAGAGATAACTGAATAGACTTTGAAGCAGCCTAAGAATCAATCTTGTAGACAACCTAACATAGGTTTCTCCTTTGAATTGCCCATGATGGAAGCCTTCTGTCTTCACTGACAATACAGAGAGTGTACAGTATTCACCACCTTAATCTTTAGAGCACACCACCGCGCTTCACGAACAGGCTGAACACTTCACGTTCTGCCTGCTGGTAGAGGAGGAGCTGACAGGCTTTGCTAATGGTCACCCAAGTGCAGCAGCTGATGTATTAGAGAATATCAAGGAGACCAGCAAGGACGTGTGTCTAGAGGTGAGAAATAGACTGGGCCTCAGGGAACAATTTTTGACTTGTCAATACACTGGAATAGATGAGAGACTCCCACAGGCCACCTTGTTCTTCACTTCAGCTATGTGACAAACCTACAGTTTTAATCACAGTAGATACTAAGGTCACTAGAAACTGTCCATCACAGGGTGCCAGTTCAGATCAGCTGTGCTTAGATATGGGGTCAGTAAATCTGAAAAGCACAGGGCACAGTGATGGATGGAGACTAAAATGACACCAGAGTGTGTGGGAGGCTGCGCACTCTCAACTCTGGGCTCAACAGCCCAAGCCCAGCAAACGGCACGAACCAGGGAAATGGGCCTTCTAAAGGCACAGACACAGAGCACAAAGCCACCGAACTGTGAGCCCAGCCAAGAGTCTCCAGCAATTTTTCAGGGACATATTACAAAGAATTGAGACTATCACCTTGGCAGATTTCACCATCAATTAATTAAAAGGCTTCCGTAAGGCTAAATCTCCAGGCTGCATTATGGACTGTTTGCAGTTCAAAACAAAAGGGAAGGTGGAAGTGTATTTATTGAAGACTCCTGCTCAGGCAGTCCTCTAGCTGCCTGGACCCCTGGAAATCTCCCACCTGCACATGCAAGGGGACCACACACCAAAGAGGACACTTCTGCAATTGCTTTTGAGAACGTGGTACAGCAGATGTGCACCAGCGTTGCCCAACGGACACTGCAGGAAGCAGCAGCACTGTGCGATGCGATTTGATCTGGTTTAGCTGGTGGAGCACAGGCCAGTGAGACCCTCCCTGCTATTTAGGATGGATTGGGAGGAACAAGATGGGATCCTGGGAAAGGGCAGCAGGTTCTTGGCCGTGCAGCTGCATGCAGCATCTGTACAATACACTGCTGCAAACCATCAGGGAAAAATTCAGGGGAAGATTGACTGAAGCAACTGGGCAGTTTTATGACTGCTAATACCACGCATAGCAATGGAAGCTAAAACACGGGTAAATAAATCCCAGATTATATGGTATTAGATGATGACTATCAGGGTTAAAAGGAATTCTCCCTGCGTTCCACGTGCATTACACAACTGCTTGGGGAACCTGTCTTGGCATAGAGCGGTTTCTTCACTTCTCTCTGAAACTCCAAGCACCGACCCATGCCAGAGACAAAGCAAAGTGGCCTTCTTAAACCCAGGGCTCAATTCGGCATGGCAAATCTAAACCTGCTGTATCCGTTACAAGTCACTCTAAACAGCCAGCTTTGGGAAGAGACGCTGTGCTCACCTTCCAAAGGGTGACGGTCATTCTTTGGTAACTTGGGGGAGAGAGGAGCACTGTATGGAGGGGAATCTTGGGAATATCGCTTTGTACCCCGGCCTGGTCCCTGCAGAGTGCCGTCTAACGAACTGCTTCTGTCTAGGAAAAGAGAACAAGCCCTATTTAGGAGCGGATACTTTCTGGGAAATTCAGTCTTGCCAGAGTCACTTGAGACTCGCATGCATTGCCAGCCTGGTAACAGCCTGTTAAAACTGCAGTCCAGCACATCCGTCAGTGCTTAACATTTTATATTTTGCTTTGCAAGTTTTATCAGAGAAAAAGGGTGGCGAGAAACCTAAGAATCTTAGCCATGTTTTGCCATATTTCACCCCAAATATCACCTCTGATTGACTTAATTCCATTTCTCCTCGTTCTACCCCTTGGCTCATCCCACATGATTCCTGCTCCTCCCCGCTCTTCACCTTTCAGACGCACATAACCCTTTGACGACTTGCAAACAACCCTTGGATGATCTGCAAACACTCTCTGCCGTGCGCAGTGCTTGATTAAACCTCAAATTTTCAATCTTCCCCCAAATGGATCCCTCAAGCGTCCCAGCTGTCGCTGCTGCTCTTCTCCAAATGTCTCCCAATGGTGGGGTTCTTCATACTGCCCGCAGCAGACGAGACATCAGGCTGGGCTGCGAGAACGTCTCTTTGCAGGCGGCTAAGGGCTGCGCACGAGCTGTCAGTGGGTGGATGAACATGGAGAATGGAAGCACCAACAGGGATGGGAACAGCAGCCGGGCAGGCGGTACAGTGGGTGGCAGACCATGGCCCATCTGGACAGGTCATGGTCAACTGAGCAGCAGTGAAGAGGTTACCCACCAGCCGCCGCCTGCCCGGGCTCCTGGCTGGCCCCTTCCAGCTGCCCCAAGCACGGCGACACGCGGGAGCCCGCAGCGTTCACGGTGTGCAGGGGCAGAGCGGGGGGAAACGCCTGTGAACAAATGCTGGGAGCTGGACAACAGCACAGAGCAGCCCCGACTGCCCGTGCAGGGCAGGAACGGGTGCTGGAGGAGTGACAGAAATACGGCGGGGAGCGACTGGGACCAGACACCAAGGGAGATGCATCACACCAAACAATGAAACAAAAGTACAGACGGGTGAGAAGCGTCAGATGGTCACAATTTAGTGAACTAAAGAGAAATACAAAGCTAGATAAAAGTATCTGTTCTATTAAAATCCCTTGGGGAAACAAAATATATGGTGCTTATACCGAGGCCCTCCTACGAGTATGACCAAAAGTCACTATAATGCTGTCAAAAAGACAAATCCTGTCCTCATGAAAAGTCACTGTAGGAAACATTCACTGCCCAGACAGACGGCGAACAAATGTTCTTACTAGCGTCTCTGGATATCTCTAAATGTAAAACTGCATGATCTTCTTCACCAAACAGTCCAGAATCACAACAAAAGGTGATGCATTTTTCAAGTTTTATCAGGTTTTGTTTTGGGTTATTTTTAAAATTGGTTGATTTAAAAAGTACCACAGACACAGAAGGTCAGGTTATAGAAGATAATCCAGGGAATCGGAAGTTAGGCCAGTCTAGATTAATAGAAGGATAAACCAAAAGTAGGTCTGTACTTAAGGACTCTGATTTTAAAGGACAAATTTTAAGAAAATAAAGAAATGGAGTAATATAAATAGCTGCACTCAGCAGTTATGATGTGGATCATTAGACAAAAAACAAAAATACCTTCAGTTCAAAAGGTGCCATAAGCGTCATGAATGTGTATTATCAGTGAGAAAATAATCTGGGAAGAAAGGATGCCAGATCTAAGTGGATAAATGGTCGCTTTGAGAAAGATGCTGAAGAAAAAGCAGATTATTTACTGGAGATGAAAAGGACCTGCTCAGCATGGAGTCGTGTATCTAAGAGAATGGTGAGTACAGGGACGAAGTGAACTTCTTAACTCATTCTGTTTTTTGCCACATTGCAAAGGAAAAGACAGGATCACGTTTTCAGCTACAGAAGTAACAAGTGCATGGGAATGGAGTGAGAGGATACTGTGCAGAAAGGTAAAGATTGACAAAAAAAAAAAAAAAAAAAGGTTGACCTCTCCTGCAAATAATGAAACAGCTTTGAGGAATATTTCACCTCATCTAACTTGGGGGGTTCTTGGGAAGGAAGAGACTCACATCTGCCCATGCCTGGGTCTGTGCTGCTGGCCACCCCAAGGCAGTCAGGATGGATGCCTCCACAGTCAGTGAGTGTCTGCTCACCCCGTTTCATATCAAGCCAAAGTCAAGGCTCCTACTTTAGGATGCTGTAACTTGAGCTGACTGCACCAGTACCTCCTCCCCGACTGCAGAATGTGCCTACACAACTAGCTCAGGTGTCGATCCCTCTGTGACATCCACCTGCATTCAGTACAACAAATCCCACCCTGCAGTTCCAGTCGCAGCCATGCTGAACACCGAGGCAAGGCTCAAAGAATAAAAGAAACGGGACAGGAAGGAAAATATACACCATTGACTAAGAAGTGGAAGTCAAATAACTGACCGTATTCAAACTGGGGATGTGAGGGTGCAGAGGAAGCCAAAAGGTAACTTAAGAAAGAAGGCGCACATGAAACCCTGGGTCTGTTGCAGCAAATTCTAATAAAACTCAGTGACGTGCTGCTCAGAGTGACTGGAAACACGGTGCTAACAATTAAAAGAGGTGGTGAAAAAATGGTTTTGGCAACACAATGCTCACATCTGACCTGAGCAGTACCACAAGGCTTGTAAGAGGTTCTGAAGGAAAGGGTAGGGAAAACACTGCAATTACACATGGAACATACTGCAGTAAGCATTTACCAGAGGAGACTAACCCAAAAGCTTCCTTATCATAGGAAAATAACTGATAGATCACCGAAAGGAAGACTGGTCAATCTCAGTTACCTGGAATTCAGCAAGGCATTTGATATGGAGAACCACCATCTGAGACAGAGAACACGAGGATTACCAGAATCCTTGTTATATGCACAAACACCTGATTTGAGGGGAAAAGCAGTCAGCAGAGCACTGAACAAGAATATGAAGTTGGAGAGCAATTGCTAATGAATTTTCTTGAGGATCATTCTTGAGCCCAGTGCAATTTAATATTTTTATTAATAACTTTGGCACAAATTTTAGAGATTCACCGATGAAATCTGCTGATGTCTTCCCACATCAGCCCAGATCTCATTTGAAATTACGCAGAAAAAATATATATAGAACAGAGTACCCGAAAGGAGGTAAATCCAGCAGCAAAACACAGATGTGTATTTGAAGCATTGTCCCATAAGCTGGGACCCTGCAGTTGACAATAACAGGTGAGAAGAACAGGTATGTGACCAGGACAGGTTGATCATCACCTGCTACAAGGATACAGCGACAAAAAGAAGCTTCCAGAGATGTTTCTTGCGAACATGGTGGTGCCAGTGCTGTGGCACCAGGTCCCCACGAGCTCTTCTCCAGAGTGCTGGGTGGCACTCTGGTCACCTCATGAAGTTTAATTCAAACCAACACCAGATGAGGAGAGTAGAGAGCCTTTTTTACCAGAGCAGCCAAAAGGCAAGCTCCCCTGAAGGATATGACTGCTCTCTAATTTCTTCCAGAAGGAGGAGAACTAAGTTAAGCTAAAATACAATGTTAAGACAAGGAGGCACAGATACCAAGTTGCCCAAGAATAAAACTGGTCTGGAAACTACACCATCGTTTCTAAAAATTCAGCAAAAACCTTGGAGCAGCATCCAGTAGAAAAGCAAAATCCCCAACTCCAGAGTTAATTAAACCAACACTGTACATTGTGGAGCCTGCAATAACAGGCTCAATGGTCCAGAAGGTCCTTCCAGTCCTCTGTTTTCAGATGGCTCCAGATTAGATCTACCTGCTCACATTTCACAGCCCAGACCTGTTCCAATTAACAGCAATCAAATTCTGTTTTCTTGCAAATCCCTGATGTGCAACTTGATCTATTTCCCCTGAATTCCATGATTACGGTTTACTTAGCAAGACAGAGTGCCAGGATGCAGCTGACCTAAGGGCTGCTGCAGGCCTTCCTTCTTCTGCCCCAAGCACAAGCCTGAATTCTCCACAGCATCCACAGCAGCGCTCCTGTAAAATGAGTTTGTTCTGGGAATTAAGACCAGCTCCCAGTCCTAACCAGTGATCATTTTCTGGAAGAACCAGCCCCATTCAGACACACGAGCACCTGTATTGTAGAGGAGACAAGGCAGGACACACAGAGCTGGAGGTCAGACCATAGCAGCCTTGACACTTGGTGTGATTTAAACTGATGCACAGCTGCATCTTCATTCTTCCATTCTACCAGCCCTAACCTCTCAAAAACACCGGTACTGTTTCTTTGTCCTCATCCGAAGCCACTGTAATGTATAGATAACAACGTTTATCATCTTCTTTCAGTTTCTTGAGAAAGGCGTTAGATGACCAGACGCTCAACAATCCTTGAGACATCAGTATGAACCACAGGACCAGGTGTTATCATTTCTCTGGACTGTGGTTAATCTTTCTTTAATCCCTGCAAACATTCTCAAGAAGAGTTCAGGATGGGCAGGTCTCAGCATCGTGTCATATCTGGTGCTCTGCCTGACTCTCCCTGAATTCTGACTTTGCTCTTTATACTTTTCCACCCTGCCAGGCAGCCCAGCTCTTTGCACAGATGCCACTGACAACTCATGGTGGCTAGAAACCACATGTGTGAGCTACAGGACCCTCTCCATCCAAGCCTGCCGCCGTGCCCAGACCCTGGGTCCTATTCCTCCCATTCTGGTTTTGCTCTTTTCTCATGACAACAGGGTACTTAGCCACTGAAACATGGGGATTTCTTCTAATTGAGGGTTCCATAGAGGGGTAACCTCTAGTCACAGTAACTAGACCCGCTGCTCCTGTACTTGCCACAGCAGCCAACCCACCTCCCACAGCTCCTTGTCTTACAGCACAGCTCCCTGCTCCCGGCATTGCTGGCTCCAGCACAGCTCTGCACAGCCCCGGCCTGCAGGCAGCTGATCAGCCATGGAGGAAGCAGAGGACAGTCACTCTGAGATCCTCACACCCTTTACACTCTTGCTAATCCCTTCCCGAGTATCGGTGCTTTCAAGACGCAATGAAGCACTGTGGCATTAGGCTGTTGCCCCTAAGCTTCACACTTAGCAACTTCTCCTTAGGCAGTTCCTTCTAAGTGCTTATCCTTTTACATTAGAAGTTTCTGCTTTTCTTGTCAGAGCCATAATTATCCAAAAGATTAACTGTGGAAATAACTCAAACAGTACAACAGCTATTTGCTGACTCGGGGGCAGAAAGAAGCAAGACAGGAGAGCAGATCAGCACAAGACACTTGTCAGCTACCTAAAGAGGGGGCAGAAAGCCTTTATCCTCTCCACGACTGGCATTCCCACTGCAGCAGTTCCCCCCGAGCCCTAGAGCCAGCCCAGGGAAGCAGCTATCACCCCCGTGGCTGCTGCTACCACACAGCACTGCAGGGCAAAATATCGGTCGTCTTGTTTTCCACCGCTTTCGCTTAAGAGCAATTTTGCAGCTTGACGATCTGCATTATGGCATGAACTATCTTGCCAGGGGTGTGTTGCTTCAATACAGTGGAGTGTTAGTCATGCCAAGAAAAACAAAGCCACCTATGCCTCAGATCGCTGCAGTGTGCATCATCCCTGAACGGGCTACGCTTTCACTGAGGGCTGGTTGTGCTGTCTGCTGGCAGCAGATGCACAGCCAGTGTGGAAACCGCTTTCCTAGGTTTTAATTCCATTTCTAATTACAGTTTACCTGCTGTATGTTACCCTTCTTCACATGCAGTCTTTCACCTTAATTCCTAACTGGATGAAGTCACTATAATCAGATTACAGGAAGCGGGAAGGACTGGGGGACAAGGAGAGGAGGGAAGACAAGGAGACAGCACGGATGAGCAGAAACCTACAGGTAGAGATGGAAATCAGACCAACAGGCAGAAAATACGGCAACTTGAATCCTGCGCAAAGAGAGCCCTGTGGACACGTGTATGACACTAGGTGTGATGCAACTGAACCCTTTGGAGAGGGCTCTGAAACACATGCCTGCCTCCCGAGATAAAGATAAAATCTGGATTAAGACACAGAGCACCTGGGGTCCCTACAACGCCACCCCCGCCCCAGCTCCTACCTGGTAGATACCTGTCGTGGTCGTACTCGTGTGAGCGCTGCATGTGGCTGTTCTGAGTGAAAGGCTGGTTCCCAAAGAGGTTGTCACTGCGAAGATTGTGGCAGAGCTTCTCCAGGAAGCGGAGGACGTAGGTGATACTGTTTACTGCTGGCAGGTTCAGAGTGTGCTGTTCCCGATCAAACACAGCTGGAGACAGAAACAAACAGAGCCCAACACGTAAACCCCCAGCAAAGGCAGGAGACTACGCCCAGGGCTGCACAGCCAGCTTCTGTATCTCAGCATCGCTGGTCTAGACTAGAGCAAACAAAAGCCACTGCCTTCCGCTGGCTGAGCGCTGGCGAGCTCGCTTCCCCGGGACAGGCTAAAACCAGTCTGCTGCACCCAGCATCAGGTACGGGGCTGCAGCGCCTGGGAAGCTGCGTTCAAGGGAATGGAAAGGCATTCAAGGAGGGGCCTGCACGCCCAGTATCTGGGTAAGCAGGGGCTTAAAAGCAAAATTAAAAACCGGGGTATTTCTTGTCTTTCTGTCAGGAGCTCAGAAAATCCCACCCGTTCTGCCTCCTCCTGGGGGCTCGAGCAGCGCTGGGGGACGATAGGTGAAGCATAATGCTGCCCAGGCTGACACCAGGGCTTCGTGCTGCCTTCTCCAGCAGCTGTGCCTGGAGGCCACACTAACTGCTCTGCTCTGAGTCAGCCGCTCGCTGTTGCTTCACTGACACAGATGTTTGGCAAGAAAGAGAAGACAGAAATCTTCTGTCTGCCCCTGGCCCATGACTGCACCAAGCTTCAGGAGAGACATCTTCCAACAAGTGAATTCTTGCAATGACATCTCTGAAGGCAAAGTGCTGCAGGCCAGTTCTCACCTGAGATGACCTCTCCCCCGTGGCCTTGTTTTAAGAAGGAGAAGACTGTTTTCTGATGATAAGCGCAATCAATGCAGGCCTGTACTGCTTGCTGCAGGACAACAGAAGCTCGAGCTGGTCCAAAATGGTCTGGCAGCTGCTGAACTTTCTTCTTGTCTAGGTGGGGCCCAGTGCTGCCGTTCTTGTTCAAATAAATGCAAACTGCCAAGATGAGAAATGTGTTTGCCATTAACCCACTCAAGAAAGCAAGAAACAGATGCCTAAAATCCAACCTGAGAGATGCTGAGATTTTAAGACTGTCAAATCACTCACAAAGGGGAATCCACCACGACTGCCTATCTGCATCCTAACAGCAGAGCCACTTATAGAGGGGAATCACCTCCGAAATCTTCCTGCCTCACACTGACCTTCCAAGCTGCTGCTGTTTCTCCTACACCTTCCCCAGCACTGAGGCTCCCAAAGACAAGGCTGCAGAGTGGTTCCCATGCCAGCCAGGTAACGTAGCTGCGATGTTCAAAGGAGATGAAGGAACGCCCACTTTTTAGGGAAACTAGGTTCATTAGGTTCCTCTGAAAATGGGCCAGTTATGTTCTGAGGAAACAGAGGGCTCAGCCCGTATCCAGTGCTTGACCAAACATACAAAAAGCAGCTTTGCATTAGACTTTCCTGCTCAGATTCGTCTTCATCTACATCTCACAGCTGTAACAGAGCATTTAGTTTGCACTGCCACTCCTACTCCTCCCCTGCTCCTTCTTGTCCCTGTTTGCCTCCATATCCTGGCTGAAGCAGAACAGATCATTGCCACTGTTGTTCAGCAGTTGTTCTGCATCTTGCTGTAGCTTCAGCAGCTGTGCCTGGCATGGTTTGGGAGAGCTTGTGCTCTGGACTCACGAGAGGTGCTGCACACCATACTGCCTCTAGGCATGATGGGCCACGAGAAATGCCCTTCGAGAGCTGTGGAGTCACTAGCGTGCTCGTGCTAACTCAGGAAAAGGGGTTCCTGCACTGAACAGATGGACTTGCAATCTTCCCATGACTTCGTTATTTCCAAAACGGACAGAGAGAAAAACAAACTGTTGACTTGAACTCGTGTGCCTCTCTTTTCCTCCTGACATACTCTCTATTAGGCCAGCTTTTCTGAAATTGTAACCATTTGCTGGTTTACAGCTTTAGGAATAAATGCGGGTGCCTCAGTGTGTTGCTCTCTGACTGATGCAGCTCCTAACTGTGCAATCTTGTCAAGAATGTGGTTTGAGACCCTTACCTGTGGGAGCCTGCATGGCAGAGCTGGGGATTGTAGCAGCATCCTGGGGAACAGTGCTTGTGTCTGGTTCTGGGGTACTGGTTGTTGGAGAGGTGGGTGCTGGGTTCAGCAATGTCCTAGGTTTCCTCTGCAGAAAAAGAGGAGATATTTCTCCTTTTATCCCTGCTCTCCTTTACCACCCGTGATCACTACACTCTCTCCTCTGCATCCAACAGACAAGGCACTGTGGAACATGACACACTTCTGATGATGATGACGGGGAGTCTCAAGAACCTAGTAATCAATATATGTGTGTTTTATAAACCACAATCCTGAAAAAAAATAACAAGCCTGAGATCTGCCACCTCTGCTTGACTTAAGACTAGCTACACACGACGGATGGAAGAGCTTATTCCACTGTTTGGCCATCCTGTCATGATCACAGCATCTGCCATGCTACTTCACAGCTAATGAAGCTTTGCAGCTCCAAAGACACAGTTTCTTGATGGAAATGATCTTTAGGACACAGACATTCTCTACAGCTCTGGGGCTGGACTCTGAGGAATATTCCCAGCCCACATACCCCTCTGGTCTCCTACTTGCTGCAGTCATACAGCCAGAGGCTGAGACAAACGTGCACAAACACACGCATGCACCATCCCATGGCAGAATTTGCAGCACCTGCTTTTCACCCGCCTGCATCAGCATCAGCTTTTACCTTACTGCCAGGCTTGGGGCCTCTCTTTCTGGGGAATTTCAAAGGCTCCACTGACTTGGAGGGTGTAGGCATGGGGTGATGGATTAGCGCTTTGGTCGTTCGACCACGCTTCTTCCCTGTTTTGCGACGCCTTTGCCCTTGTTGATGCCCCAAAACAGTCTTTGTGCTACTGTGCATGCTAGGTTTCTCCGAGTTTACTTCGGAGGCAGGTAAAGGGCTCTTTGGAATCACAACTGAAATAAAAAGAGAAAAAGCAAATATAATTAAATCAGGCGAGAATCAAAACAAGAGCAGCCTCCATCTTTATACAGTGTCACATGGAAAAACCTGGAGTACTCACAGCCCCCTGAATGGAGGCTATTGCTCTCCATGTCAGAATAAAAACCAAATGCACTGATCCTTGGTTGTGCTTGAGCTGTGGGACACTGTGGCTTAGCCTGGATGGGCTGAACTCCAGAAGGATCATGCTTTCAGCCATACCTTCCTTCCTGAAAATAACTGGCACCTACACCTCTTTCTTCTGCAAGTGGTGACCTGTCAGCGACCATGTAAAATGCACAGAAAGCATTCCTAGGGGAAGGATCAGTCAAGACCTGCCTGACAGTCACAGAGCCAGTGCTGTGCTGGAAATCCCCTCTCTCAAGGCAGGAGTCAAATTTGCCCTGTCCCTAAATTACCAGTGAACTGCAGTGGAAGGTACCAGCATCAGCCTCAGTGGCAAGGACTATTGCTCCTGGTCCTCAGTAATAGCTCATCTCAGTTGTATCAGCTGACCTGCTCCTCTCACGTACTGCCAGAGGTAAGCCAAGTGCCAGCACAGAGCCTGTTCCTTCTTATCTTCTCATGCTTTCCATGACAAAACCAGGTTTCCGGTGTATTTAGCCACAACTCCCTTGAATTTGGTCATTCATCTTTCCCAAGTCCTGCTAAAGGCTAGAGATGAGCTGATCCAGCTCAGCAGACCAATATTTCCTTTAAACTTCTGCTAAAAAGAAACAAAACAAAACCCTCCTAGAGTTGGAAAAATGCACAGAGACCTTTAGAATATCTTGTTTCTTAGACCTGGAAACCTCACTGTGTATTCAACACAGAGGCTCTGAATTTGAAAAAAAATAAACACTTTTGAAGTGAGGGGCTTTATAGTTAAGGAGAAAATCTTGGCCAAGGAAACAGTGCAATAAAAGATTGTTACCAGGATGGCAAGCAGCCTTAACAGTGGCACAACTGTGGGTATATAAAGAGATTTTTAAGGTTTTTCTAACGAGGGTTTTATGAGCAGTTATTGTGAGCAAGGACTCATTCCCTTGGCACAAAGACACTGTTTCCTGCTGACAGCTCAGAAGCAGCAAACCAAGCCAGGTCCAACTTCCTAGGGGTCTGGAGAAGATCAGTGGGCTTCGAGGTGACAGCAGCAAGCCCTGAGTCAGGAGATACTCCAGGGATGGGGCAGTGAGCTGATGGCTCTGTTAACTACTTCACTGCTAACCAAAGCACAGATCAAGCCAACAGTATAGAATCATAGAATCATTTAGGTTGGAAAAGACCTTTAAGATCATCAAGTCCAACCATTAACCTAGAACTATCAAGTCCAACACTAAACCATGTCCCTAAGTGCCACATCTACGGGTCTTTTAAATACCCCTGGGGATGGTGACTCAACCCCTTCCCTGGGCAGCCTGTTCCAGTGCTTGATAGCCCTTTCGGTGAAGAATTTTTTCCTAATATCCAATCTAAACCACCCATGGCGCAACTTGAGGCCATTTCCTCCTGTCCTATCACTTGTTACTTAGGAGAAGAGACCAACACCCACCTCACTACACCCTCATTTCAGGTAGTAATAGAGCGATCAGGTCTCCCCTCAGCCTCCTTTTCTCCAGGCTAAATGCCCCCAGTTCCCTCAGCTGATCCTCATAAGACTTGTTCTCCAGCACCTCAGTGTCTTTCCTGTAGTGAGGGGGCCAAAACTGAACCCACTCTTCGAGGTGCGGCCTCCCCCGTGCCGAGTACAGGGGATCGATCCCTTCCCTTGCCCTGCTGGCCACACTATTCCTGACACGAGCCAGGATGCCACTGGCCTCCTTGGCCACCTGGGCACGCTGCTGGCTCACCTTCAGCCGGACGTCACCAACACCCCCAGGCCCTTTTCTGCCCAGCAGCTTTCCAGCCGCTCTTCCCCAAGCCTGTAGCGTTGTGTGGGGTGGTTGTGACCCCAGTGCAGGACCCAGCCCTCAGCCTTGTGGAACCTCATACAATTGGCCTTGGCCCATCGCTCCAGCCTGTTCCGACCCCTCTGCAGACCCTTCCTACCCTCGGGCAGAGCAACACTCCCACCCAGCTTGGTGCCATCCACAAACTCACTGAGGGTGCGCTTGATCCCCTCATCCAGGTCACCGGTAAAGTTATGAAACAGAACTGGTCCCGGTACTGAGCCCTGGGGAACACCACTCGTGTCCTCCTGCCAGCTGGATTCAACTCCATTCACCACAGCTCTTTGGGCCTGGGCACCAGCCAGTTTTTACCCAGCGAGGAGTACACCCATCCAAGTCACGAGCAGCCAGTTTCTCCAGAATGCTGTGGGAAACGGTGTCAAAGGCTTTACTAAAGTCCAGGTAAACAACATCCACAGCCTTTCCCTCATCATAGGAAGGAGATCAGGTCTGTCAAGCAGGACCCATGCTGACTGGGCGTGATCACCTGGCATGGCTGATATGGGGAGTTATGTATAAGGTCCCATCAATGGCAGTTCATTTTGACCTTATGTGGACAGGCCACTGGAGGTGGAGGATCCTGCTCTGCTCTTCTACTCTAACTCCACTCATCAGCTTTGATCTGGGGTACCATATGCTCTCCATGGGGACATTGGGCATGAACCTGGCTGCCAAGTCCAAGAAAACCTGAGGAAATGGTTCATTCAGGCAGCTCAAAACCAGGACTGGTGTTACCTCACAGCAGCACTAGGCCACTTCACGCGGGTGGACACACTGGCCAGGCACTCCTCCAGGCCCACGCAGCCACGGGGACTCCCAGCCCCATGCCACATGTGCGTTTCTGTCTTGCTGGCAGCGCCAAGGACGGCAGTGCCGGGGGCAGGAGGGCAGACAGAGCTGACCCCCAGGAGCCAGCTCAGTGTCACAGTGTGCCTGGCCGGGGCATGTTTAGGATGTTTAGGACGCAGAGCCAGGCCAGGAACAGCAGACAGCACTCCTCCCGCAGCCGGGAACGGCTGCTGCCACTGGCAAATCCTGTGTTCGCTGCCACTTGCCGCGGCCAGCGGATGAGCTCTGCTGCCCCTGCCCTATCACACTGAGCTCCGGGGTGTTGCTACAAGTAACTTGCACAAAAAGTGAAGTGCAGAATGTCCTGCAGCTGTCTTCAGGTGGTTTACACCCACCCTAACCTCACTTTGCACAGGTGGAAACAACACAGTGCGTGGTGCATCCAGGAACCAGCCCCATTCTGCTTGTCATGGGGGCAGGGTAAGATTTCTGATGCCCTCATTTTTTTGTTTAGTTTTAATTTTATTTCCTTGCTTTTGTGCATTAATTCTGTATCAGCTGCGGGGGAGAAGTACACAGTCATTCAGGAATCTAACTTCACAACTAATGTCTTTTTTATTGTGTGTCTGGCAGATACAGAGAATTGCAATCGAAATAGGGTTTTACTACTCCTTGTTTGAGGTGTTAATATTAATGGCAAGGCTACTTTACTGGCAAGAAAAGGAATACAATAGCTTAAGTGCTTTTTACAGTTGATGGTTTTCCAGGACAGCAAGTGTCACCTGCTACGGGTGACATCTGGCCCCGAGCTGTCCTAGCAGAAAGGAATGGCACAGATAGCACAGGCACTGATCACTGAGCCGCTGTGCCTCCTGCCTTACATGGGCACAGCTGATCACAGAAGAGAAATATTTACATTAAAGGATTTATTGGAATCCCACAAGTTGATAGAACAAGGATAAACACAGGTGAAATGCTCTGTACTTCAAAGAAACTCTTAAACAAAGGGATGTGTAAACCAGTGCAAGGGCATTTCGTTTGCAAAGTACCGATTTGTACCAATGCGAAGTGTCTATACCAAGCTGTGCCACCAGGTTTCTCTAAACTGGAAGAAAAATTGAGGACTCTACAAACAAGCTGTGAAGCAAACACACGATCTCAGTTCTACTAGTGAAAAACCCACAGAAATGGTGCATTTGGGAAGTTGGGATGCAGTAGACAAAGCAGCTGAACTGCACCCTTGGCTTCCAGGCTAGAACCACCTCGCAGAGAAATCCCAGGGCCAGGGAAAAGGAGAACAATGTCAGGTGAACTCCTGACGTGTAACCTTTCAATGTAAAATTTTATAATAAAAAATTATTTCATCTTTTGGTACAATAAATTCTAGAAAGATCTATTGTCTACTTCAACCATAAAGATATTATGGGTAATGTTAATTTGCCAGGGTTAAATAATCAGTTTTGGCTTTAGGGCAATAAAAGCCCATAACTTGGTGCAGGCAGACTTCATTTCATTCAGCCATGCCAGAGGAGTTTCCACTGCGCCTGCTGTCCCTGGCAGCATGTCCCTGCCACGGCCACTGCTCCTGCAGGGAAGGAGGGGCTGCTACAGCTCAGGAGACCATTCAATGAAACAGGCCAAGAAGTTACATCTAAATATGCAGACAGCTCAGGGCATAAATACACAGAAAATTGCCTAGATTGTTGCTTTGTGCCTAACAGTATTGCTCAATACAATGCTGAATACATCACTGAATATGCACTAATATTTTTTCCTGTAGCTGCTTCAGTGAGACTGATACAATGCACAGACATTTTTCTGACTCAGAGCAATTTAATGAAATGAGGTATTATAACCTCACAATCCAACACCATTCAGCATACTTGCCTGGCTTTTTGTTTGATTTTAACCAGAATCTGAGAAGACACCAACCCATGATAATTCACTTCTCTTGCCCTTACCAGATATACTGAGCTGCATGCAATCAGCATGGTGAGGAGACACCAACCTCCTCAGAGCAGAGCTGTCCCACCACCTGCACCCGTGCAGCAATGGCACAGCCCCAAAACCACACAGTTATAGCTGGTCACACTTCTGTCTTGTCACTGAGGCATTTATAACTACTTCCAGTGACTGGATGCTTCCTAAAGGAGCCTAAGTTTTTTGCTAGTTGCCTGGTAATTTTCCTTCAGGATTTCAGCCCCTGATGTTACAAGGACATGGTCAAGAAGCACAGG